GCCAGACGGCGGTTGAGTTGCGAGCGGGTCTTTGCGAATTCAGCAGGATAGGTAATTGCTAGAGGGCGCACGTGAGGTGTTAGTTGGGCGAATGATAGTTGGGACGGAATGGCAGCATACCGATTTCTGTCGCGCCGGCGAAGGCTGTGGTTTAGGCGGAATATGTTAGCTTAAGAAATAATTTTGAGACTAGACATGTGTGGGGCTGAGTAGAATTGTAGAATTACCTCCTGCGATCAGGGAACGAGCAACACTGGGCTAGATTGTAGAGTTCTGTTAGATACAAGGTTCATAAGGTCCTAAAAATTGAAGCCAGGAGGAATTAGGTCTTAAGAAATACATACCTTATCCTTCTTCCTGTTTACCGACATTTGGCAAAATCCTCACAAAAAAAGTTGTTTCGGTGGGATGTGGTGGGGGAGGAACCGAAACACAGGGCCAGTGATGGTCGCACAATCCGCGAGGGAAGGGATCAACCATCCTCTGTGGCTTGTGCTCTTGGCGCTGCGTGGGTTGTGGGACTCAACCTCCATAGTAGCTATCTCCACTACTAACTTACCCCCCCACAGCAGCTACATTCGACGACGTTCCCATCCCATAGTTTATCGTCCGCCATCACAGTCTTGCTCCCCATCGAAATAAATACATCATGGATGACCTCATCGCCAAATACTCGACCCCTCAGGACGACTTCTTTGACGAAGACGAGAACTCGGTGCAGTTCCAGTCGACAAAGCCATCGCTGGACCTGAAGTTCTCGCTGCCGCCCATCTCACAGGTATGCATATAGTGCTACAGCAGATTATTTGTAATAGAGAAGAAGGTCGGCGCTGATAATTGGGATGGATATATAGCCAACCGCCTTCCTCCGTGCTGCAACAGACGACCATGCAAACCCAGAATGCCCCATAAAGATTGCCCACGGAACCACAACGCTCGCATTCAGGTTCCAGGGTGGTATCATTGTCGCCACCGACTCCCGTGCTACATCTGGAAGCTGGATCGCATCGCAGACTGTCAAGAAGGTCATCGAGATCAAGTAACTACCTCTTCCCCCAGGTACTACTACCTTCAAGGTACTAACACTACAAACCCAACATAGTGACAAGATGCTCGGAACAATGGCCGGAGGCGCCGCCGATTGTCAGTACTGGCTCAACTACCTCGGTATCGAATGCCGTCTCCACGAGCTCCGCCATAAGCGCAGAATCTCGGTCGCAGCCGCCTCAAAGATCCTTTCTAACCTTGTATACTCTTACAAGGGGATGGGATTGTCTATGGGAACCATGATGGCCGGTGTGACGGCTCTTGAGGGCCCAGCTCTGTACTATATCGATTCGGACGGCACTCGTCTCTCTGGGAACTTGTTCTGTGTAGGGTCCGGTCAGACCTTTGCATATGGTGTGTTGGATCGGGAGTATGACTACAACCTTAGTGTTGAGGATGCATTGGCGCTGGGTTCTAGATCCATTTTGGCTGCCACCCACAGAGTAAGTATTCCATATACTACTACTTGTGTATAGGCAGATTCTGACAATAGCTTTCTCTAGGATGCGTTCTCTGGTGGTTCGATAAATCTGTACCATGTCAAGGAGGAGGGATGGACCAAGCACGGTTTCACCGACACCAACCCTGTGTTCTGGAAGACAAAGCTGGAGAAGGGTGAATTCTCAAACGTGGCGACAGACTTTTAGATGGTTATGCGCTCTACTCTAGAGATGCAGGCTTAGCGCTAATTTGAACATGGAGTCCTGTTTGCATATCCTTTTTTGTAGTTATTCAAAAACGTGATCTCGTGATAGAGATTCCCGTGAAATTGACTGACCATCACAGTGCTACCAGCTCTAGGGAGGTGAGGCCTGAATTGACGAGGTGTTCTTGGAGGTGAAAATCGGGCCATTATATCTGGCTATTTTTTTCCCTCCCGTCTTCTGGCATATCCATATTTGATTCTGTTACATTGTTGAAGTAGGAATGTGCAATTTGGAACTTGGCTCTACCAGTCTTACCACGGAAAAGAAAAAAATAAGGACTCGCACACTTTAATCATAGGCGATCACTCGCATACTGAGGATCCCGCGAATAAAACACTTCTAGAAGCCTTTATTAGGTCAGAGGGAACATTTTAGAAAAAACAAACCATATAAAGAATATTTACAAGTAATATGTGCCACGAATCGTATGCTTGCAACTTTAAGTTCGTCAGTAATTAACTTTCATAAACGAGTGATCACATATGATCACATAAACACGTAAGTGGGGGAAACCTTCGGAAAAGTGATACAAGCTTCGAGACAAATATTATGATGGTACTAGTAGGGACAGGGGCCAGAGTGATAACTCCGCACAGAGGGCGCCAAACCAGGGCCCCACCACCTGGCTCGCAGGAGCGGGTAATTTCGAGATCTGGTACAACAAGCAATGGGCTGTTTTTGGCACAACGTGAAGTTCCCAGTAACCTGGGCTACTCAATGCATAGATGGAGACGGAGGCGTTTGACTCCCGGCGGCTCGGGAGTCCTGCGTTCTTACCGCCACGGGGTATTGCCGTACTCAATGCCCTTGCTCGACGCAGCTGAAGACATGGGGGTATATTACGCAGAAAGGCTCGAGATTTAGGCAGGGACTCCATACCTCTTTTGCCGATAGAGCCATTCCAATAGCTTTGTTGAAGTTACGATGCTTTATAGAAAGAAACGTCAAATGCTGTGCCTCATGTCACTGGGGACTTGCAAATCCCCGTCGCCCGATAAAGCTACGATTGGGCTTGATTACAGAGCCTTGACGTATTTCAAGGAACAACTACTGCTTCTGTATCTGAAAAATACCTCCGATGGTTTTGGACTAGTCCTCCAGCTCCAGGGTAACTATACATGGCGTCAACCAGTCTCTAGAGAAAGGTAGACGTGGTCCGCGACCTTGGAGTACAAACTCCCGCCACGCCGATCACTAACGTTTTCACAGGGTAACTTTATGTGTTGACCTGTCATGATGGGCGGTAACAAATATGCCATCTCCATGCGGGCTGGAGTATAATCATAGACTATCACTCGGTAATTTGTGCAGAAAATCGAAGTATAGCTCCCAAGTCTAACCCTCCCAACGTTAATAAATTTCATATGGATATGGGATATTTAGTTGTAGGGCAGTGTGATATGTTGTAGCTGTATACGCGTGAAAATCTGGCCTCGCGTTGAAAATTTACCAGGAGAAACTGAAGCGTAGCTAAGGCCACCAAAACATCACAATCATCCGGGAGAGAACGGATTAGTGGTATGGCCTCTCACGAAGCGAATATATCATTCATACTAATGATTATAGTACTCGCTAGAATCTAGTGTTTATCTCGAGGTGTCTTAGGTCTATGTTTTTAGATCTGAATCACCCCTTCCCCAGGTGGAACATATGGAGAAACATCTGGCGTCAGATAAAAGAGAGCATCAAATATTATAAACATACATGTACATGTAGTTTATACCACAGAACTAGAATATAAATAGAGTGAAAAACAGGTAATTCCATGAATTATCACTCGATTCGGGAAAGTACGGTACTGTGGTTACCCCGATCCCTGAAATCACCACCCACAAACCGATGTGGTGAAGCAGTAAAGGCCGTTAAGCAAGAATGCGGCCTTCGAAAACAAAGATTTGCGGTATTATAGACGAAAAAGATTGCGAATAGAGGCGGTTATTTCAATTGATGCGCTCCATATACTAGATACTACAATAGAGCGTTATGAAAACCCATAACATGCACCATACTAACCGAGGATTTCCACCATTGATACAAAGATCAAACAAATACATAGAACAGGAGAATAAATAGAAAAAATATGACGGAACCACATTTTTCTCCAATCCCCACACCCATCAATTTGCTTAGACTTTGGATAATAAATAGTATCCGGAATGCCTCGTCTCCGTTCGTCCCATTTTTTTTCTTTTTTCTTTTCGGAATCCTTCGATCGAGTATTTTTTCTCTCTCAATTCGAAGAGAGATTTCCTTTCTCGATTGTCTAGAATTCTCTCCGATACCAGTCACCGAAAGACGGTAATATACGAGTAGATAGTTCATAAAAGACTGGTAGATATCCAATCCCTCATCTCCCCAAGCTTCCCGCCCCGTAGCGAAATAGCATCGAAATGATTCGCCCCTCTGCCAGTATTTGAATTGTCGTTGCAGAGATTGAACTGTAAATATTTGTTGACCGTTTTTTGTTTGTTTTCGTGTTTGCTTGTCAAGAAAAACGCACAAGCGGCTTGTCGAGTTGTCCCAAACCACACCTGCCACCTTCCCCAAACATCCCCTCCACCTTGATGAGCAGACCAGTGTAGAAACCACCCGTTCACCAACAACATAGACCATAGGCAAATAAGACAAATGCCCAAATCTTCCGCCGTATGCACACCCAACACCAACCCTAGCTTCCAATCCTGACCCCAGCTCTGCTAAATCCGACCCACAAGAGATGCGAAAACACAGCAGCACAAAGGCATATCCAGGTGCCAGGACAACAGGAAGGATCAAGAAACAAAAGCCACACCGAAAAACCATGCAAAAGAGAGATATTTAAGAAAAAGTAGAAAACCATGCGCCTTCAAAACCCAACAGCCCTATCATCATTCATTCCCGCCAACCATCCCCAGAAAGAAAAAAACAAAAAAAAGAACAAGAAGGATAAAATGAATGCAGAAGACTAAAAAGAACTTTACAAAAGCCCAATCGAGAATGAAGAAAAAGAAAAGGGCCGGTTTTATTGCTGATACCCTGATAAATTTCGGTTTATCAACTCAAACAGTGCTTCTTCTGCCGATCCCCTTTGTCGTAATATACATCCCCCCGCATACTGCTGACTCGTGGGTATCCGAACCGCACACGCTATTACCCGATTGTTTTAGTACCCTCATACCCTCTTAGTTTTAAAAAAGTACACTAATACCCCCCTCCACCCACTACCCTACCTCCCCCGCCTTCTGTTTTTGATCAAGAGTGTACGAGCTACTGAGCTCGTACTTGCGGCCCAGCATCCGGAGGTCCGAACCCATTTGGACGTCCTCCCGGTTGGCCTTGATTCTGGTTGTACCGAGGCCCAGGGCGACGGTTCTGTTGTTGGTTAAAGCCTTGATTATTATTGTATTGGCCTTGGTTGGGACCTTGCTGGTGCTGAAATCCTCGGCCCCTTCCTTGCCCGTGATTGGGAGCACGATTGTGGGTAGCGTGATTGGCGTTTCGCTGTTGCAATTGCTGGAGATTCTGGTTATCTCCTTGGTTTTGACGTGTGGGTTGTGGGGTTGATGGAGGCCTAGGAATAGACTCAGGAGAGTCGTAAACATAAAGCTTCTTGTCGATTGTTGGAGGTATTGGCTGAATTTCGGTTCCAAGCTCTTGCTCGATTTTGTAAAGGTTGAACCTGAATCTTGTTAGAAGATTGCTTGGAGGAGACTGCTGATATTATTTACCTGTCTTCCCAGTTGATAAGATTAATAGCGAGACCAAGATGACCAAATCTACCAGAACGCCCGATACGATGAAGATATGTCTCCGCATTTTTGGGGAAATCAAAATTGATGACAACATTTACAGCCTGAATGTCAATACCGCGAGTGAGAAGATCTGAGCATACAAGGTTACGGCAAACACCGTTCCTGAAATCATGGAAGACCCGGTTACGGTGGTTCTGAAGCATTTTGGCGTGAGAGTAAAAACATGAGTAGCCAAGTTCTGTAATTTTCTTGGCCAGTAGCTCAACACGGTTTGTTGAGTTGCAAAAAATTATAGATTGATTAATTTGTAGCTATTTTAAAGGTTAGTAATTGGTGGATGAAGTTCAACTTGATTATGGTATATTGTACCTTCGAAAAGAGAGTATTAAGGCAGTGAACTTTCTGCTTTTCTTCTACAAACGCATAGTATTGCGTTACACCGCGAAGAGTGAGCTCATCCATCAAATTGATCTCATATGGTTTGTTCAAGTGTTTGTCCTGAAAGCCGTTAACGAGATTATTTTTAATCTGGGATTATGGCACCGTACCATAAAGCTCTTCACAACAAGAGGGAAGGTTGCACTAAATAACATTATCTGCCGATCATTGGGGAAGTACGCAAGAAGTTGTTCGATGATAGGCGTGAACTCAGGACTGAGAAGCTTATCTGCCTCGTCCATGATAAACGTCGGGCATTCGCTAAAATCGGCCACTCCCTTGCCAGCAAGATCAAGGATCCTGCCCGGTGTTCCGACTAGAATATGCACAGCCTCATTCAAGCGAATGATGTCATCTTTCAATCCAGTCCCTCCGGTGGTAACCATGACATTGATGCCCAGATGCTTCCCCAATGTCTTACAAACTTGTGATGTCTGTAGGGCGAGTTCTCTTGTTGGTACGAGAATAAGTGCCTGTGTTTTCGTACTCTTGGGATTTACCCTCTCAAGAGCAGGGATGACGAAGGCGGCGGTCTTCCCTGTGCCGTTTTTGGCACGGGCAAGGATATCACGACCGGTTAATGCTACTGGAATGGTCTCTTCTTGAATAGGTGACGGCTTTTCGAAACCAGCCTCAAAGATACCCATCAATAGCTCTCGTTTGATATAGAGATCTTCAAAATCAAGACCTTTAGTAGCGGTGACATCCTGATTTGTTCGTTAATATCTCTATCGAATCGAATAAAAAAAGCAATTTGTAAATTTAGAAGGCCAGAAAGAGAAACCCACCTCTGTCTGTGGTCTCAGATCTTTTTTGGGAGCCTTCAGTTTTGATTTCCAGTCAGGGTCTTGTCCCCTAAAGAAATAACGCCAGTGAGCAGGCTAGTAATACTGGTAGGGTAACGAACGATTGTTGCTACGCCAACCAAGAGGGGGCACAAAGGATAAACGACTCACTCTAACGAAGTAGACTCAAGTTGCTCGGCGAGTGCGGTCGCCATTTGTGTGAGGAGGGTATGTGATGGTAAGAAGCGGAAGGATTCAATGTCAAGTCAAAAGATGATTCAGTGACAATTGTAGTTGACACCAACTAGATAGCGTGGGAGGGGGAATTATCAAGAGTGAGGTAGATGGTTATAGATTCACACAAGAGGTGAGAATATGATGATCTAGAGATATACCAGGGGTATTTGATGCAGTTCAACGGAATGTAGATGAGAAATGTCAAGTTAGAGGAAAAGGGGTGGAGGAGGATAAGAGAAGAGTGGGAAATTCGAGCGGGATGAAGTGGTGCTGCTGACGCTTGGATGGCAGGGATTTGACTGATCGTGGGAAAGCGTGAGAAGAGGACAGGAAAGTTGATCGGAATGTCACGAAGTGAAGTGTATGGAGAGTGTGATAGGACGACGAGATGCAGTTTGAGCAGCACAGAGCCGGGATTGAGTGGACTGGTCTGAGGTGGAGAAGTGGAGGTTGAGAGAGGAGTAGTGTTTCTTTTTTTTTTGAGTGGTGTAATAGGTAAGGTAGAAAAGCGATGGACAGGCAAGCACTTGACGTTGGAGGCTGGGGGCGCCCCAGCTTCCACCCAACCCCTAGCCCTTAGTGCTCGTACTGCCGCACAAGGGATACAATCTTTGCTACACCAAGAATCTTTTTCCACGATACACAAGAAACAAGAAGTCGAAGACACTGGCATAGCTGTACATGTGTTATGAATGCTAAACTGGTTCGATCTGCGGCTCTGCACCTTGACTCTCAGAATCCACACGTGGTATTAATTAGCGCCCTTTCTGCAACGCAATGCATCTTTTCTAGAATTCGCGGCGTTGGCCACACTCGTCTTAGTATTAAATACCAATGTAGGTAGAGTACATGTGCTCCACCAAGTAATAATGTAGAAGCTGCAAACTCTGAGGTTCATTAAAGGTTGTCATATCTGATGTAATCAATTAATTAAGGCAACAAACATTAAGGACTACCAAAACGTCTGACAAACTAGATATCGCTTCTAATAGCCACAAGTGGCCAGTCTTCAGAAAAGAGACAACGCAACTACATCATAAGAAGGACAATTTGAGCGCTTACATAAAGTGTCATGTACATATATAACATGATGTCATGCTCTTAATAAGTTGGCCAGTCATGATCATGCACTCAGACGTATATAGACATTTGAATTTGATACATGATTCTAGTCCCCAGCTTCCTATTGACTACATGTACTTACAATGTATGTACATGTATTTAAGAGATTGTTCCTGGCTTCTAGGGTGAAAATAAATGCAATAGAGCTGTGTATACATAATAACTACATGTACAGGTATATGTATATATGTACTTCATGTAGTTCGCACCTGCCCCGAGCGAAATGTACATGTATGTACTCGCAGCAGGTAACAAGTACCCGAAAATGCAAGCCCTAATCTGCAATTACCATTGGAGTAGAAGTCAAAAATACACCAAAACCTTGCAGCTACATTTTCGGGTACTTCAGGCCTGTTGCGAGTATAGTACTTGGTACATGTACAGTACCATGTACATACACGTATACATACTTGTAATGCACATGTAGTCATCCCAAAAATGTTGATTCGAACTCAAACATCATTACTACATGCAGTGGCTGGCTAAACGATATTCGCCCCAAAGTTTAACATTCAGTATTCCCAGCCAAGCTGTACTCCTAGTCATCAAGTCCGGACTGCCATTTCAATTTTTGCGGTATTATTCATCTTATGTGTAGACCGCTATGGGCCCCATAAACTACATGTATAGTATATTTATATATGTCCATACATAATGTATGTACACACAACAGTTAATACAATGCCACGTCCAGACCAAGTGCACGAGCAACATGGGATTTGCGCCACTCTAGATTTTGAATACGAGAACAATTCGTTATAAGACATGTAGGAGGCGTCCGAGACCATCAAAAGAAAGAAATGGATAGCATATATGCTACCTAAAAGTAAAAGTAAAAGGGGGGAGAAACACCGCCCGTAAGTACGTATAACTGTGTCTGTCACTGACCACGCAAGAAAGGCGTCCAATAACCAATCCCAGAAGCACCAATAAATCAGTGAGGGGGGCTACGATAGAATCATACAGGCTTATATAACGCCCGGTCTTCCAGCAGTTTCGGCCCCGCCACCTACGAATTGGTTTAATAAATCTAGTACGTTCGTCCTAGGACCAGCCTGTCCCTCCTCCGCGGCCTCCATCATAGCTGTGGTGACATTTGTCGACATAAAACTCTCTCCCAAATTACTTCTATACCTCTGTTTTCTATTATGCCCTGGGTTGATCGGAGATTCCTCCTCTTCGTCCTCTTCCCTCAAAGATTCCGCCGATCGGGGATGGAACATTGGTTGTCTCATATTCCTTGAGAAACCCCCATAAGCTGGCTGGTGTTGTGGATCTAAGAGTGATGATTGCATCATTGATGCGCCCATTCTCCCTGGGCTGTCTCGATGCATAGATTTTCCCATTCCTGGACCAGAGGTATCCTGGCGTCGGTTTTGGGGATGCTGGTTATATGTCGATTTACTCATATCAGCGGCCATAATCGGCGATGTCATATAAGGTCGTAAAGATCCCTGATGCTGCCGTTTTCCGTGACCTGTTTTTATTTGAGTCCCGTGGTACTGATCCATGAATCCTAAATACGAAGAAAGCATCTTATTGTCTTTCGAAGAAAAGTATTCCTCTCGAAGATCCTCCACGTTATGCTATTGGTTCTTCTGGTCAGCATATCCTACCAATTTTATTATTTAAAAGAAACTACTTACCCCGGGCTTTTGGAAGTTGAAGACTGCAAAACTGCACACATAACCAATACCATCAACGTGGACAGTGAACTCTCGGAAAAAATCGATGATCCGGTCACTGCACTTTGGCAAAGACCACCAAAGAATGAATGGTGTGAAGAAGACACTCAGGATTTCGTTGATAAATATTGAAACTTTCATGTCATATAGTGTCATAAAGTCCCGTTTAACCTAATCTTCATTTAGTCAGGTTATTTAGTTAGGATCGATTCCTTGAAATATTTACTTCATCAGATCGCAATTTCTCCTTCCAATGGTCAGGCATGTAATGTGTGTGCTGGATAACATTGCGGAGGGACCATTCCGGATCATATATAGTATTCTCTTCTGGAAGCATACCTCTAGTGACAGCTACGATTGTTGTAAGAATGGCCATATAAGTGAGAGCAGTCATTCCCGATGTTATCTCAAACCCTTGTATTAGATCGCTATCTAGCAACGAAGCAATAGCTAGAACTCCTAGCAAGGACCCAGCTATAAAGGAAATAAATCTAGATTTACTTTAGCATTAAACAGAAAGAAATTACTGGCAGTATTCTAGGCGATTACCGTGCAATTTGGGCGGTCTTTTCCTTCGGGAACTGGTCGACATAGGCCTCCGCCGCGGGATAGCTCATATATAGTCTCATGTGGAAAAGATGATGCAATTCGTTAAATTCTCGAAACTTCCATTCTGCCAAAGGTGTGTACTGCCTGTGACCAATTCTCGCTGGTGTTTTAATAAAATCCTATGTTTCAAAGTAAATTCATTGATCTTTGGAGAATATGAGAGTTCAACACTCACATGAACGTTCCGGAGTAGGAAAACCAAGAGGAAATAGGTCGCAATGAATGGAGCGGTAATAATGTTCATCCAGCCTGCAAACATAAACCGTCTCTTTAGACTAGATGACGTTAGTTCAAATATATTAATTGCCCACATATTCACTTACGCATCACTCAATATCCTCCTATGACCCTCTTTCAAGAACATACTATTCAGCTGACCCTGTTCATTAAACACATAGTCAAGAATAGTTAAACTCAGGTTCCATTCCAAAGTCTTCGTCAACATAGAGCCCCTGCTTCTCAGAAAAGGAATCGGAATAGTGAGGTCCAAAATCTCCTTGTTGAAGAGTGCTATGAGATAGTTTTCTTTTCTCATCAATCTATTGGCAATATCATGGGCGTCCATTCTTTGTTTAGACTGGTTGGTGTAATGACGGCGGCGGACTGTTTCAGATGTTGTAGGGTTATCATCCCGCAGTATCATCAAACGAGCAACTACTTCCTGCCAAGAAACTGTCTGCATGTCCTGATCAGGTATTTCGAGCAAGTAGGTGTAAAAGTTATGAATATCCCAGAGGCGTCGCATATCCAAGAAAAAATGGACCGCTTTGATTGCCCAGTAAAAGGATATTATCCACAAAAAAAAAGTTGCTGTGCCCGACATTCTTTTATATGTAAGCCAAATCCCTCTATGGAAAGACACTAGCAAAAAAGCTGTGATTCTTACCGACTCATACAGTGTTGTACAATCACATCCCCAAATTTGTCTTTTTTGCGTATCAACTGATAGTCGATACACAAACTGAGAAACGTCGAAAACGCGACAACAAAAGCCAACGTCCTGTATTTTATCATAAGCTGGTGTCCCATCGTTTAGTAGATGCAGTACTCACAGCAAATTTAGGAATCGGTTGAGGGCGATGCTATAAATCCCCTTCCCTAAGAAGTAATCATAAACCTATAGTACCATTAGCAATAGCCACCAACTACATATAGTTAATAGATACACAACTCACATCGTTAAGAAAGTTGTCTAAGTTCTCAACATTGGCCCACTTCCACAGGGCCCGTTCTTTGGGATCTATTAGACCTAGTCTAGCCTGCCTTCTGACCTCTTTAGCTTCAGCTTCCTGCTCGTCGCCTTGGACGTGCATTTGCGCTGTTGCAGCAGCCCACTGCTGCTCCTGTTTATTTCGCTTTCTCGTGGCCTCTGTAGCTGGTCCTGGCCCACCTCCACCGAGATCGCCTTGGTTCAATCCAGCAGCTCCGCTTGGTCTGCTGCCTCCGCCAGCTCCTAAGCCCCCAGCCTCAAAAAGTAAAGAGGCAGGGACATCGTCATCATCATCGGCATCTTCCTCCCTAAATCTTTGTGAGGCATAGCGGTTCCCTCGTGGTCGGGACATAGAGGCGAAGAAAGGACGTTGAGTTGAGTGCGCTAGAAATGACGATGAGGCCGGTGCCGGTGGTTGATGTCTTAATTCAAAAGTACTCTCATCATCATCCATACCTTCCTCATATTCTTCGGGTCCACCTTGACTATGTAGCATTCCAGCTCGGGCCTCCATGTCGTCTAGATCTGAATCTGAATTATTGGCACCGTTTTCTCGCAGGGTTTCGTATATAGATTGCGAGTTCTTGTTGAAGATTTGTGAGAGAAGTTTACTCGTCATCGCGTCTAACGTAAGACTCTGTAAGTGAATGGAGCTCTGGCGTTCGATATTGGATAAAGCTATGGAAGCTATTGGGAGAAACAAAAAGCGGGGAAAACTATGCTCGTCTTAAAATATAGAGCTAAGAAAATCCAGTGGTGGGGGATGAGGTGGAAAAGAAGAATGTTATTGGTGATGGGTGGGTTGATGGCGAGGGAGGAGTGACCGTTGATATTCTTTGGCCAGTGTGATGAAGGTCACTGGGTTTGAGAGCTTTATTTTCCTGTCAATCCACGTTCTGATAAGACATGGGGCTTCCTGCTGTGATGATTCTATGCAACCTTGTACCCTGCGAATAAATGAGGTCTCATGCACAATCTGTAAATCCTGTGGCTGTTCTCAGCCTCTGAAAGGGCTTAAGGTCACACGTCACAATACCCCCCCCCCCCCCTGGTCGAGTCTACTACTTACAATAGTAGACAGGGGATAGCAATCATCCATCCCTCTATCGATAACTGATAACGACATTGATAGTGATCGGCCGGGTAACATATTCAATTCAAAGCTCTATTCACTTCGAACATGGAGTTACTTGTCCACCAAGCAACAAACCCCTAATTATGGATTCGCTTTCGCAGCAAAGGCTGTCATCAGTCCTCTCTGCGTCTTACTCTGACTCTGAAATCAGAAATGCACTACAAGTATTGGACGCACGCTTCACTGACAATTCCCCCGATTCACGACGGCAGCTCCGGGTGGACATTCAGGCAGAGGTCATCCGAAGCAATGCTCATATTATTGAGGAGTTCGCTAAGATAGCTGAGGTAGCACAAATGCTTTTATTTTATTGTGTATTTTATCTTCCCTAATACAGAATAGTCACTGAGTCATATGTTGTGCGTAGCAATTAAAACATATAGGGACTACATTGAGCACAATGAACGCCGTAGTATCCTCGCTGCGAACCAATGTTGCGGCAGCTTCTTCGGAAACGGCACCAATACTTGATGAAGCCTCTGAACTATTGTCTCAGAAAAAAGATGTGGAAACTAAAGAGGCACTACTGTCTGCATTCACGGCACACTTCGTAGTCTCTGAGGAAGATGTGCTGGTATTAACTAGTTCAGCTGAGACTCTAGACGACCGATTCTTCCGAATCTTGAGTAGGGTAAAGAGAATACATAGTGACTGTGAAGTTCTACTAGCAAGTGAAAATCAAAGGGCTGGGTGTGTTAATTAAGACATTTGCCTTAGGGTTAGAGGTATATGTGCTAACCATGAAGATAGTATGGAAATCATGGATTTGATGACCAAACACCTGCACGATGCTTTCCAGAAATTATATAGGTGGATTCAAAGGGAGTTAAAGCATCTGTCACTTGAGAGTCCTCAGATAAATTCGGGTATCAGGAGAGCTTTGCGAGTTCTGGCTGAAAGACCCACCCTTTTTCAGTATTGCTCCGCATTATTTTGCACCACTGTAGCAGAGCATTGTTCTGACATGTTGGTGATCATTGTAGAGATTGTTTAGATTTTTTCGCAGAAGCTCGACAAAAGATCCTTCTTGATTCATTTTATACGGCATTAACTGGTGCCCCCCAAGGCACACCGGGTATCGACTCTTCCACCAAACCAATAGAGCTCTACGCCCATGATCCTTTAAGATACATCGGTGATATGCTAGCTTGGCTGCACTCTTCTGCTGTTGGTGAACAGGAGGCCCTAGAAGTTTTATTCATTTCTCAAGAAGGTGAAGGCCAAAACAGCATTTTAGGGGGGATTGAGGAAGGGTTAAAAAGCGAACCTTGGGTTGGTGACTATAGAGATGATGCTTTGGAAGCTCTCGGAGGCTGGGATGCTAGGAAGGGCTTGATGATGTTGGTAGACAAAGGCTTAGAAACAGTGTGCAAACCATTGAAGGTAAGAACTAGCAATGTCAAATATTTTATCTTCATCCTTATACGACCGTACTAACGAAAATTCTCTTAACTTCGAACAGTCTAGAATTGAGCAGGTCGTCGCCAGTCATGAAGACAGTACCCTAGCATATCGTATATCAAACCTCATAAATTATTATCGCCTCACGTTTGAAAAGTTACTTGGTGAAGACTCATCCCTCCTAGAAACGATTAAAAGGTAAATCCTAGCACAGGCAATAAACATAATCTTAAATTAACACATTACAGCGTCGAGCAATCCGCTCTCCGTCAATTTCACAGCACCTTGCAGGCCCATGTCCGGGCTGTGCAGTCTGACCTCCCACAAGCGCCGCCAGACCTCTCACCTCCTGATTTTCTTCTGGAAGGTCTCAAAGAACTCAAAGATCTGATGGTTTCATATGAAGCTTCCTTAGCGCCAACCCAAGAACGCGAAGAGGAGTTTTCAAAGATATTGGAGGAGGCGTTTGATCCGTACATAGAAGGCTGTCGTTCTCTTCGAAAGGATCTGGACGAGTTGCAGAGCAATATCTTCGGCTTAAACTGCATGTTGGCGGCCAAGTCGACTTTAGATCAATTTTTATTCACAGCTAAAAGAGTCAGTATGCTAGATGACGAGATTAAGACATATATCAAGGCACTTGTGGAGTATGAGCACAATTTCTTTGTTCATACTTCCGGGTTGAATCCTTTGCTTGTTGCGTTAGATGATTGGAATCCGACGGTACCTAACAATAGAATCCCTTCTCTCAGTGATGTTTATATCTAATCCTTCACGGCAGAAAACGCCCTTGACTCAACTTCCACCATTCTCTCTGTTGTCCTTAGCGCAAGTCTCACAGACTCTTGACAAGTTCCTCCAGTCAGCATTGATGGATGTACAGGCAGAGCTCAGGAGATTAAACTCTCCAAAGGTTGTTGGAGAAATCTCGCACGAAGCAGCTGAAAGATTCGTAGAAGATTTCCGTAGGGTAGAAGAAGCTGTAGTTAACGCTTTAGCGAACGAGATGGAAGAAGGTATGGATGGGGCTAGGAATGTGTGGCCAAGAACGGTAGATGAAGTTCGGGTCCTATTGACTTGATAATGATCTTTTTCGGTTAGGAATTGGTTGATTGGTAACGTAAAATAAATATGCACCTTGAAAAATAGTGGGTCACATCACAATTGAGTTAACAGCATCACAACCAGAGTGGGTCGCATCATAGATAATCACCCGCTTAATACCTACTCCACTTCGGCACGATCCGAATGCCGAGGCTGGGTAACCCGTTATCGGCAAGTGCCATCCGACGCCCGAGGTCAACACTCGATCTTTCATGAATCATGACTTGAGACTTATATAAGCTGCAGTAAACCCATCTTGGAGCTTCGATATTATTATCTAAAACCAAAATTTATTGAGAATGCGCCAGTTTTTACGTCCTGTTGCCTCGCTGGCGAAATCCACAATCACGCCGGTTGCTCGCCGTCGTGCCCACTCCACAGCATTCGACTGGGAGGATCCCCTCCTACTCAGAGAGCAATTGAGTGAAGACGAAATTGCTCTTGCTGAGAGCGCGCGCTCCTACTGCCAAGAACAGTTATTACCCAGAGTACTCCGTAAGCTATTACCACCAGCCTAGTGAGTGGGATTTCTGCGTGCCTGATGACTTTATTTGTGTACCGGTGTTTGGAACGAGACGACATTGTAGTACATGGAAAAATATTAGTCCGGGAGGCTGATCTAGGATATATATTAGAGGCATACAGAGATGAGCATTATGACAAGGAGATCCTGAAGGAAATGGGGGAGCTAGGGTTGTTGGGTGCTACAATTCAGGGTTATGGATGTGCCGGCGTAAGCAATGTTGCTTCTGGGGTATGTGGAAGAGCCTTGAGATTAATAACCATCATATGGCTAATATCATTGTATGAAATAGTTGATCACCCGCGAAGTTGAGAGGTGAATAGCCATCCCCTGACATGTTTGCAAAAGTTGTAGAAGTCCATGCTAACTACTCTAATTGATATAAGAGTCGATAGCGGATACCGCAGTGGAATGAGTGTCCAGAGTTCCCTCGTCATGGGTGGTATTGAAGAGTTTGGCACCGAGGAACAGAAACAGCGCTTTCTTCCGGGAATGGCAAAAGGAAAGGTCATTGGTTGTTTCGGCCTCACAGAACGTATGCCTTCATCCCTAGCCACTTACAAGATATTCAGTGGACTTATATTTCAATAGCAAATCACGGATCTGACCCTGGATCGTAAGATTTATTTCCCACTCGCATTCGAGTATACTTAAGAAGGACGGTTTGTTAAGATAATGTTCTTAGGATGGAAACCGTTGCACGCCGTCACCCCACAAAGAAGGGAGTTTACCTCCTATCGGGTTCAAAGACCTGGATCACTAACTCCCCAATCTCTGATGTGCTCATGGTTTGGGCTAAACTCGATGGGAAGATTCGAGGTTTTCTAGTCGAAAGGGCGACTGCCGCTCCTGGCACGATTTCTACTCCTGCCATCAAAAACAAGAATGGTCTCCGTGCTTCTATCACTGGCATGATCATGCTCGATGGTGTAGAGGTTCCCGAGGAAAACATGTTCCCTGACATTGAAGGTCTTAGGGGACCATTCAGCTGTTTGAACAATGCTAGGTATGGAATTGCATGGGGAACAATAGGCGCACTGGAAGACTGCCTTATGAGAGCAAGAACCTATGCTCTTGAAAGAAAGCAGTTTAAGGGCAACCCTCTAGCAAAGTATCAGCTTGTTCAAAAGAAGTTGGCAAATGCATCAACCGATGCTGCATTTGGATTGGCAGCTGCTTTACAGGTCGGAAGATTGAAAGATAGAGGTCTAGTTGCACCGGAAATGATTTCGATGATAAAAAGACAAAACTGTGACAGAGCTTTAGTCAACGCTAGAGAGTTAGTATCTATCGAGTCTAAGGCCAGTTTTTTAGTGAGGCTAACGGCATCTTTAGCTTGCAAGAAATATTTGGCGGGAATGCTGTGTCTGACGAATATGGAATCGGCAGGCATGTCGCTAACCTGTTTGTCACGCAAACCTATGAGGGTCAGAGTGATATCCATTGTAAGTTATACGGAACAGTTATAGAAACAAAGAAATAAAGAGCTAATGGAAGAAACAAGGTTTGATTCTCGGTAGAGCAATTACTGGAGTTCAAGCATTCTGTTAGTTCCCGACCGCGAAGTACACTTCAGAGCAGTCCACTGGATGGAAGGCTGCGTAAGGGTAGATGCAGAAGGGTAAACATCTGCAGACCAATACATGTACTTATTTGGTGAGACAAGAATATGTAATTCTGAAAAGATAATGGAATCTTTATGTATTCTTAGACCAGAACCATAGAATTGTATTTGATGTGATATATAGCGAAACCCCACCCCTATGGCCATCACTCTCACTTTTTAGTCCAAGGGCCTACCAGGGGTTAGGGTTGAATATGTGCCCGATGAGGCCATTCCTACTATTTATTACTTTATCGGGCATGGTAGGCCCTTTGGATAAAAAAGTGTCTTTATGATAAAGATGATTATATATATATAATATGTATTGAATAATACCAGTGACCACCTGAGGGCAGTTGATCTTGGGATGATCTATTTTAATAAATACTTGGCTCGTGATTTAAACTTGTAAATCTGACCTTTGGGGCGCTTTATATATAATTATATATTACTACATGTACTAATAAACTACTAGTTTTTCAGAGTAAAGTTTCAGATCTGTTGATACATATATTGATAGCTACATACATAGGTCTAGAGCTATTTAGCATTTGGCGGGTATCCTCTAACTTCGTGTGGATCTTCAAGTACAACATCAAGATCGGTGATTATAGGAAACTTCTAGGTCTATATATAGTATATAACAGCTGTCGATTGAAGACTGAAAATGTTTCGGTTGGGGTTTACCTACAGTGATTGGTATACTCTACTTAGTATTGGCAGAATGAATGCATATTAGAATTGTTGGGATCGGGACTACTACTGCATTATGATTTTTAGAAGTACCTACAAGTAGGTACATGTACGTATGCACCTATTCAAAATACCCATATTTAACACGTTTGTTTCATTGTCAATACAAAACAGATGATGGGCAACGGTGGTGGGGTAATTGCAGAGTGTTGCAAGCTGCAGTGACAAGGGGCATTTGTTCCAAAGCGGAAATAAAGGATACTGTAGGTACTCTAGGCTCGTACTGACATTAAAAACGGTAACCGTACCCCCTGATTATTCTTAACCAATATCTGAGTGCACCGATACACGATGTGGGTGGCCTTGTCCAATACTGTGCCATCTCAGAGACTCGATAATCCTCTCGCTGGTGTGGCGCTCCCCTCCTTCTAATCCGAGCTTAGTCACAGGCAACCTATCAGATCCCTGTCAATTTCTGTGGCCGTCCCCCCTCTTCTTTCTTCGCCCCCCAGCGGTACCGCCCCGCTACAAAACTCACCTCTTAGCCCAGCCCTTCCCATCCCTCCACCCACCACTGACTCAAACCACCACTTCGCTCTTCTCCCTTTTTTCATCCATCACAGCATCAACACAAGGTATGTGTCTATTTTTCTTTCCCGTCCCCGACTCCTACATCTTGCTATCGCTTCTACTGTCACTCCGCTAGTTACTTTGACCGCCAAATATATTACTGTGCTGACCCCGCCCTGTTGGCCCAATAACAGTGTTTTAAACCTTTTCACCCTACTACCTACAGATACAGAAATGGCTCTCAAGAGAATTAACAAGGAGTTGACTGATCTCGGAAGGTATGAACTCTTTTCCCTTTTAGTGACCTGCTATCTCTCCGCCTTGACCCTCGACAGCCGATATGCTGTCGTGTGAGCAAGGGGGGGGCAGGCGGTTAGCTGAACCTACCAGCTGGTGAGCATAGCTAACTATCTGCTCTATAGAGATCCACCCTCATCCTGTAGTGCTGGTCCCATCGGGGAGGATTTGGTACGTTTTTCCCAGTCTTTATTAGGGGGCTTTGTCCGGCTCAGCCGCAAGACCCGGCGGAAGATACCTTGTTATTTGGAACTTTTGCTGACCATAATGAAAATAGTTCCACTGGCAAGCAACCATCATGGGTCCTGTAAGTTTGTTCTTACTCCGGATATCCGAATCTATGGGCTCTTCCTAAGAGTGCTTGTCGGGTATACATTCATGATATGACGGCCATTTACTGACTGCTATTGATAAACTAGTCGGAAAGTCCCTACACAGGAGGCGTGTTCTTCTTGAGCATCGCTTTCCCTACCGATTATCCTTTCAAACCTCCCAAGGTGAACTTTACCACACGCATCTACCACCCTAATATCAACGCGAACGGCAGCATTTGCTTGGACATCCTGAGGGACCAGTGGTCGCCAGCTCTCACCATATCGAAAGGTTTGTTCACTTAGCTTCAGTCAGCCTGGCTGCTTCTTTTCTCTCTCTTGATCTGCGCTATCTACATGAGGCTGATGTGTTTGCTTAGTCTTGCTTTCCATTTGCTCCATGCTTACGGACCCCAACCCCGATGACCCGCTCGTTCCAGAAATCGCCCATGTCTACAAGACCGACCGAGACAGGTACGAGGCCACAGCAAAGGAATGGACCAGGAAATATGCAATCTAGGCGGTTTGGTGATCTCATGGCGGTTTGTTAAGATAAATCAACTGTTTTTTTCTTCTTCTTAGGAATAGGATGGGGAAATTGGGCGGCTTGGGAGGGGCATTGTCTTTGTAACGAAACACGATAACGAAATTCAATGCCAGGTTCGGTGTCGCGGTTTGGGGCTGGGGAGGTTTAAGGTGACAAACAGTTTTCGAATTGGGTAACTGGCGTGTAGGCAATTTTTTTCTTTTAACTATCAAGTCCTCTTTGGCTGTCTCTCTTTTTAGCTATCTTAACTTGATACCGTGATTTATTCGAGTTAATTTGAATTCTTTCCATTACATCGAACGTTCCAAAAAGTGTGCCTGTATGTCTATTACTCGCTGTAGAAACTACAGCCGATAGTGGAAAAGTGGACAATATTGGCTAGTTGCACCAGTGGGGAATTCACTTGTGGGGCGAAGATCAGCGCCACAAGATGCATGACATGTTGCCAGCATAGAGTACGACGACTCAGAAGATGCAAGTTCCTGGTCTAATAAACCCAACGCATACATAACCATTTCAAAGTGGTGTTGTAGGCAGAGTACACATGTCACTGCGCCTTCTCTTTTTTCTCTCTGTCGCGTGCCCCCTGCGTCACCGGGTAGCACTCGGTATTTCGGGACAAGCGAGCCTCCACATTTAGTAACCGTATCCTAAGACGCGCTGAGAACATGGGGAAATCAAGCCAAAGGGGTAAATAAACTCGGGGTCCCAGTGTGTAACTGCATTTGGAGTAGTATATAGAGTGTGCTTTCGAGAAACTACATCATACATCATATCGGACTTTACCTCAGAGCCGTGGGGTTAAATTAAACCCTTTACGTCAACTCTGCTTACCCAAGGATTACATCCTCCTTAGCTAACTTACAGCACCAATACGTCAAGTAATAATTTTGTGGTACATACAGTGGTTGTCTGTATCTTGGGTGGTCACGATTTTTTTCAATCTTTAGTGACATCAGATTTAGATTTTTCACTCAATCGAGCCCAAGTGCACACCATTGACTAATTCAACGATCATACAAGTACTTAGACTTTACGATAACTATGGTATCAAAGATGTGCACGGAAAGTTTCATATAGAAATCGTATCGTAGGCATAACCAAAACGACACATGAGTGTACGAATAAGCAACGACAAAGAGCAATGAGGAAAAGATAAACATGAAAGCCAAGTAATAAAAACGCTAAACCATTGACGCCGTCCCTCTCTCGAATGTGCTCTATAATATTACAATTTTTTTAGTTGGAATATAAGCACTTGCAGTAATAATACCGTTACAACCCTGCCCAACCCAACCCCAATCCCCTAAACAAAAACCCGTTTTTTATTCAAAAAAAAAAAATCGTACTCATTATTTCCTTCGTCATCCATTAAGTTTAATCCTTCCGACCTGACTTTGCTGCAGAGTACTGGCAGAATTTGTCGGCGATGGAGATTACTTCATAAACACCCTCCTGGGAGGCAAACATGCTGTAACTAAAGCTGTTTGTGGTTTGTGAATGGCTCTCCAAAATCTTAGGTTTCGATCCCTTTTTAGCGATTTCACTTCGTGTATAACTGTCACAAGCAACGTTAATAATATGCATCAAAAAAAAAAAATTGTGGCCAGGGTCAAAAACTTACGTGAAAGTAAATGGTGGTGTGCCAAAAAAGTTGAAGCTAATCTCCGTCTGGTCACCCTCCGCAATACCCTTGACAACGATATTTCCTCCACTGATTCTAACACTCGGAACCTCATGGACCACGCTCGTTAGCCCAACACTGACTTTACAGTCACTGGCTGAATCTTGCAACCCTGTGACTGTGAAGTTGCCCGGTTTCTCTGCAACACGGATGAACTGCGATGGTTGGTTATGAGCACTCATCGGGACACCGTTCCACTCGTATTCAACAGCAAACGGAGGAACACCGGCGAGAGTGAATGCAATACGGTCACCAACGCAGTAGTCTTTGCGTTGTGTGTCATGAGGGGTAATTGTTGGCATGTCGGCAACTGCGACCATGACATGAGGGGCATCGGTCGGCGTCTTCCGGACACAACCACGGGAATCCTTGACTTTGAGGACACTAACAGCGTGGCTACCAAGAGTCAGGGCGTGGTTAGGAATGCGGAAATTGAAGACATTGGTTTCGACATGAGGGACGTTGATTATGTCGCTTTTACCAGTGCTGAAATGTTTGACATTGATGGTCAAGGAAAAGGGTGCAATGCCGTGAAGCTGGATTGGAATAATGTCGTCACCAGCACCAGCATCCAAGCAGTACTTGTAGACTTTGCTCGGATTAGCAAAACTTGTAGTCGGCCTCGAGTGTACGGTTTGTTCAAGCGTAAACGGATTCTTGAGCAAACTCTCCCTTGGATTATCGTAAAGCCCATCCGCAAGACTCTTGAACTTGTATTGGTAAAGACCAGCACGGCTCGTTTCCAACCGCACAGTCGCCACACCAAGACCAGCACGAAGTTGTTGTGGGCTATGCTCCAAAGAGCGCTTGGAGTCAGAAGAGCCATCCGGTTTGAACACAATGTCATAATCAACCATGAATGGTGGACTTCCTGTGAACGCAAGTTCAACAGAATCCTCGTCTCCTTCACAAACGTCTTTTCTAACGAAGCCTCCATCCTTTCTGGTAGTTGATACGGACTCTGCTAGGCGGAGTTTAGGTCTGTCGATCCAAGAAATTTTAAATGTGCTATCTGCCCCAGCAACAGATCCAGGACATCCATTATCACGAACATCTTCTAGGTAATAAGTGCCTGCGTCGTTCACAGTCAAGTAGGAATTTGTTCCTGTGAACTTAAATGTCTTGGCTGGTTCGTCTCTATCAGCATTACGAATTCTAACAGTCCATGGCTATTATCACAGTAAGATCAGTACGGTTCGCAAAACAAAAAGGAAGTATTTGGGGTGTTTAAAAGGGTGGCATACGCTTTCACCAGTCAGCCTTATTGGGATATCCACAGGTTTGCCTTCTAGCGCCCTGACATGCATTTTCCCTTCAACTGGGGCAAACTGAGCCTTTGGCCTCTGCCACCTAACATTTACTTTTGCCTCCGATTCCAAGTAGATTTTACATCCGCTATTATCTTCGACGGTTGTCAAGGCGAGCGCATATTCTCCACCCTGTGTTAAAGGTGGAGTCTTGATGGTATGTATACTTGTGGTAATGTTTTTATCGGACATCCTATGGCGTTTTCCATTGTGGATAAGGTCGTAGTGTAAATTCAACGGGGGCGTTCCTTGCATCTTAACCTGGAACTCTACAGGCTCTTCAATGCAGACGTTCTTCCGAGGCGCTGCATCGATGAAGCTGGCACCGGCAAGCGGCTTGACAGTTTGCTCGACACGGTTGATTTTAGAATCAAGTTTGACATTGGCATAGTTCTTATCGCGAAGACTGAAAAACTCATACGCATAGTGACCAGCGTCCTCCGGAGTGAAGCGGACTTGGTGCCTTGTGCGATCAATTGTAAGAGTTTTAACAACTGGAGCGCCGCCGTCTTTGATGAGTCTATAGGAAAGCTCAAATGTTGGTGACCCAACAAGAGTAAGATCGATTGTAAGGCCAATCGACGAGCCTGTACATTTGTCCAAAATCTCATCAGACTCCATAGTCATGCTTGGTTCAGGTGGCGTAATCACGAGACATGAAGAAGGCTCCATAACCTCACCGGGGCAAAACTTGCTGGAAAAGGATTTCAATGAGTACAGCCCAGGCTCCTTGATGGACACAGCTTGAGTTAGGCCCTTCATGCTATAATCCTTGAATACAGCATCTGGCGAGTGTTCCGATGCTGATTGAAGCTTGTTGTGAGGCGTAAACGCAAATCGGACTGAATAAGGAGCGTCATCGCGGACAGATACAAGCTGTAGGGGAAGTTCGCTAGAAACGCCCTTTGGCAGGTCGATGGGTGTCTGAGGATCACACCCGAGGAAACGAATACGTGGTCTATCATGGACCATAAGTCTATGGGAAAGACTGCTTTTCTTTGGGACAACATAGTCCCCGTCCTCGAAGAGAGCATTGTAGTCGACTGTATTTCCACATCCATCCACAACCTTGTCAATTGAATAGCCCCAATCGCCCGCGGAAGCTAGAGATTCATTGAGGGGCACAATGATTTCCCGGCGTTGTGCCCATGTCAGGGTTCCGTCGCCTTGCTGAGCAAGTGTGCCGTCACTATTAAACCCAGCAAGCAGGGGTGATTCAAAGCCTTCAGGGTGAATGCTCTGGACTGAAAACACCGTCGGCTTACCCTTGATCTCACGGCTGTAGGTAATTTGGAGCGGGGCAAGGCCTTGAACCTCCATAGCAATATCTGACATGTCCCCTTTGCACTTATCTCTCTTCTGTGAACCAGATATTTTGAGGTTCGCTTTCGGGCATGACACGACGAGCGCTTCAGATCGGTAAATGCGCACTTCAAGTTGAGATACATCAGTAACTCTAGTGAGGCGGTAAAGGCCAGGTTGCTTGACGGTGTAAGGTAGGTTGCGAAGTTGCGGTTCGTCTTCCTTAGGAGCCTTTTTCAAAAGCTTTTTAAGCTCTTTATGGTTGATACTAATCATCTCAGCACTGCCGGATTCCAAATCGATTCTCTGGAGCTCAATATTGATAGGCTGAGTCCCATTGATTCTAATCGGCAGGGTGACGAATGGCGATGTATCACCAATACAAAAGCAAGTAGACTCCGGGTTGATTTGCGCAGCCCTGAAATATTATAAGCACAGACTTCAAAACGATTTTCATAGTGACATACCCTTCCGGTAAAAGGTACACAGTGTATTTGCCTTGAATATGCGAATTGTTATTCACAATATCATACCACTTGACGCTTCGTTCGGTAATCGATAGTTCTCGGTCGTAAATAACTAAAGTAGAATAAATTAGTATATTCACCCATAGACTACCACGGATCATACATACGTTTCCAGAAAGCTCCAAAAAATGCCGTAATAGGTAGCTGGTACTTTAAACTGATAAAAATATCCATGACTGAAAATGTAGCAATCGCACAAAGTGTAAACATCGTGTTGAAGTTAATCCACGGGATCCGGAGGATTGGTAAGAACCCAAAAAAACAGCCATCCAGAACCAGCCATTTTACACAAAACCATAATTCTGATATCGAGTCGCCATCTGCAGCGTACAATCTGGCTATATCATAAAATTTCCATGCTTGTAGAAGAACAAATACGGCCACTGCATAAAGTCTTTGGGTGGGTGCATCAATGACATCTTCTGGGATAAGTGGCGGAGGATCTGAGGTTTGAACGATTGAAGGAGAAGGATCGGTGGGTTTGGGATTCGTTGTAGGAGCTTTTGGTGCGAATAGAGGCTGTTTAACGGATCCTACCCTCGCGGGAGAGTTACCACGCCTCTGGCGCAATGGAGGCGCTGCCACTGGGGTCTCTGGAAATGCAGAGTTGAGTCTGGGGGTTCCGGTACTCATGGTGAGCAATCAAACCATCTGAGGGCTAGATACCGGGATAGATATTTAGGGCGTGGTTGAATGAACTACTGAAGCCTGTAAAATATCTGAAGCAACAGTTGTTGTTGTTGTCTTCACAAGCGCACTTAGGGGTTTTATTTTCCTTGAAAAAAACACGCGTGGGACTAGCCGGGTAACGAGCGTGTTTGTCTAAGAAACGAGGCAGGGTAACTAAATGCACTTTACTGCAGATTCTTTGTTTAACAATCCTTGTCGCGCAGGGTTTAACTTTCCTTAGCTCAATACCTTATATTTAATAGAAGTTCTTATCTGTTAGTGCTCTCGTGTAAACCGGCAGTTTTCTTTTTACGTCTGGCGACTGGAAGTTAAATACACGGTGGCCACATTATGCGGATCTGATAAAGTACTAGCGCATTGTACCTAGAGTATTTACTAGGATATCAAGATCATAAAAAATTCACAAGCTGTGTTGTCGATACATGTATGTAACCAAAAGTGCGTGTCCTGCTTGCAATTAATCTTACGGCTCTAGCCTGATATATTCTAAGCAGCAATGTTAAATAATGCCGTCTTGACGCCTCCGCATTCCGCAACAGATAAACGAAGGCTTGAGGACTTGGCACGGGATTTGGGTTAATCTGTTGGAAGCGAAACCATAACTGACGTGTCTCCCACCTTCACCATTTTCGCGTCAGACCTTCTTCTTGAGGCACGATAACTCAACATGTCTGAGTCTTCTACAAAAAAGCAGCGCACGCAATCACCATTTGCCCCAGCGGTCAACGAATTACACAACTTCAAGCGCACATGGCCCAACTGGTGCACCGTGGAGTCTGAACCGGTTCGATTGTTGATTCTCTCCCAAATGAATCCTTACTCTATGTAGTTACTAAATTCATGGCCCTTAATAGGTTATTTGGACTCAGCTGTTGCGAGATGTCGGTGCGCGGAATACTGAAGTTGTAGAAGTTTATACTATTGATGAAGAGGGCTTCGCAGTTGTAACGTAAGCTTGGCTATCAAAACTCATAAGTATATGTACAATAAACCTTAAGCTGACTTCATGATAAGGCCTGCTCATGGTATCATATTCTGCATGGTTTTCAACACAAAGTACGATCCATCGGAGCAAGAAGTTGTCTGTCCCGAGGGACTTTGGTTCGCAAATCAAGTCGAAGACAATGCTTGTGGGACCTATGCGATCATGAATATAATCATGAACTCTCCCGACGTTGAGCTGTCTACGGAACTTACCAATTTTAAAGAATACAGTAAGGCTCTTACTCCGCCACACAAAGGCCTTGCCGTAGCCAGCTTTGAATTCCTAAAGAGTGCGCACAATTCGTTCGGGCGTAGAACCGAGATGGATGACCTGGATTTGAACCAGGCCGACGCCTATAAAGCCTCGAGGCGGGGTAGGTCTAAGTCTGAAAAGAGGAAGAAAGGCAAAAAGAATGCCGATGAAGACGACGAAGATGGAGAGATTGACGAGGATAACATGGCGTATCATTACATCGCTTATGTCCACGTCGACGGTGCGATTTGGGAGCTCGATGGCTTGAAAAGACAGCCTGTAAAATTCGGTAAGTCACTTTTCCCGGTGATCATTTCCTATATGCTCTGAGTAACAATATCATTATTTAGAAACCTGCGAACACAAAGATTGGCTCAAGGCTATAGGCCCCAGACTTCATGAGCGTATCGCATTATATCCCAAGACTCTTGAGCGTTTCACCTGCCTGGCACTCGTTCCTGAGCGCCTCCCTATTTACCGCAAAGAACTTGTTTTCAATGCAAAGATTCTGGGTGCTATCGAAGCACGACTCCAAGAGGTTAACCCTGAATGGCACAGCTTCGTTACCAAAGATTCACACGAGGGCATCTACACCGAAGCTCTGACCGAATCTGTGGAAGAATCTGCCGAGGTCCTCAAGATCAAGTCTCTCACCAGTAGTGAGACTCTCATTGAGTACTATAATAAATTTTGTATTGAACAGAGGGACATTAAGCACAAGATCTCCGAAGCCGAAAAGGAAGCGTATGAGAATTCTGTCACAACTGAGAGAACCAGACACGACTACGAGCCTTTCATACGTGAAATGTCAAGGATTTTGGCAAGGAATAAGCAAGCAAGGGACATTCTCGAGCCGGACTGGGCAGAAAAGGCCACGAAGAGGAAGAAGAGGGGTGTTGCGAATAGATCCGCGCGCGGTCGACCTAGGAGCAAAAACTAAAGTGGTTTACACATTAAAATCATTGTCTCCCTATTCTTTCGATAACTACATGTACTCTCAACAAGCCTTCTTTCTTTCTTTCTACAATCCATTCTGTTACTGTTGCTTATTTGGAACTGTCGGTTTCTTCTGGGGTTTAGGGGTTTCTATTGGGAGTTTTTCTGGCGCTGTCAATTTTGTTCTAAATAAATATACTATCTCATTAATTTACGTCATACAAACGATCTTGAATAACTACCTCATCAGTGATAAATCACAAGGCTTCTGAAGTGGGAGCTGTTAGTATCCAGTAACTTCGTATACGGGGACTTAGCGACTCTCGAGCACATGAATTCAATCGATAACTTATATATATATTGTCTAGTTAAATACCTAGTAGCTATAGGGGCTCGTTGTGCGTTACCACTCGGGCATGAATTTACCTCGAATGAAACCATCAACTTATCTTAGGCTTCATTTAAAGAACCCTACTTCTACCGCTAAGAGTCTCGCATCCCCACAAAAAACAGAGAACAGCTGGGTTTGACTTTCCCAGAATGACAATTGAGGGCCGGGCGGCCTAGGTACATAAGTAACTTTAGCTCTCTAAGAAAGCTAAGGGTTTACTAATTTTTGAATATAACATTATTTTGTAATGTAGAGTATTGAGAGATAGAAATACTCAATTGCATTATGTGCCTGGTTGATCAATTAATGCTCAACTACATTTCGTATTGTTGACGAGTGATTTCTGATGATGTTTCAGGGATCATCGCTGAAGGACCACGTTGAATCGACAACCCCTGAAACACATGACCTGGCGCTCAATCCCGCGTACAACTTCAAGTTTCAGCCCACAAATCTACGTGGAATTTCTATATCTGAAGGACATGCCTATTACCTCATGGCCCTGTTAATGAATTTTTAACTCGAGTATAGAAACCTCACAGCCGAAATCCCATAAAACCGAATTCGCGAATTCATAATATTAAGAGAGCTATCTGCCAGCAATGGCCGCCTCACTCAGCAGTAAGACTACCAACCTCACTTCCCCTCCAGAAATTCACCTAGAGCGCTGGTGGGGTAACACAAGCTCAAGCGCAGGTTCTCTCCGGAGCACTCGAATCCTAAAGCTACTTCCCGTCCTCTCATCGTTCTGTATTCTCGTCGGCGTTGTCTGGCTCCTCTTACTCCCGCTCGAGGACTACTCGCGCAAAACGTACATATCCGAGAATGCGTTATTACCTGGACAGGTGCACACATATTTCGGTGGGAGCGAACAGAACGTGTTTAGAGCATACCGGAATGAGGTTGGGGCGTTGGGTGCGAACTCCTCGTCAGGCGGGGAGATGGCGCGGGTGATCGGGAAGATTTTTGAGGCGTCGGGATTGAAAGTTGGGAGGCAAAAGTACAGTTACACTGCTGCTGGAGAAGAGATTCACGGAGAGAACGTGTATGCTGTCCTCCAGGCACCTAGGGGTGATGCTACTGAGGCGCTGGTGCTGTGTGCCGGGTGGTTAAACATGGACGGGCAATTGAACGAAAGCGGTGTTGCTTTGGTTCTTACCTTAGCCCGGTATCTTAAGAGTATAAGTTCCAGTGGCATCATTTTTGGCGAATTGTGCTGATATGTGCATAGGATGGTCCCTTTGGTCGAAGGATATTATATTCTTGATAACCTCGGACTCCCGAGCGGGCCCTCAAGCCTGGGTTGACGCCTACCATGATCTCCATGATCCCCCATCTGTCGCATCATTACCGCTCAAGTCGGGCGCAATTCAGGGAGTCGTCGTGGTCGACTACCCATCAGTGCGCTCTTTCGAATCACTCCATATAGTATACGATGGAATCAATGGACAGCTTCCAAATCTGGACCTCATTAATACAGCGGTTAGAATAGCATCAGGCCAGATGGGAGTCCGCACAACCCTACAAGAGATGTGGCACCATAATGATAAGTACCAAGACCGCCTGCGCACCATGCTACGCGGAATGGTAAATCAAGGGCTCGGGCACGCATCCGGTCCTCATAGTTCCTTTATTCCATACCATATCGATGCTATAACACTCCAAGCATACGGTGAAGGCCGCCATGACGAAGTTACACTTGGGAGAACTGTGGAGAGTCTTTTCAGAAGTTTAAATAATCTTCTTGAACACTTTCATCAGAGCTTCTTCTTTTACTTGTTAATGGCCAATCGTGTGTTTGTAAGTATCGGAACATACCTGCCTAGTGCTATGTTAGTTGCCGTCAACTTTACATTTGCGGCGATTGGGCTTTGGGTTGAGAGTGGAAAGAAAAAGACCAAAACGGCGCCGCTAGTAATCAAAGCAGAGAAAGATGATGAAAAAGAAATTTCCCAGAGACTATCTGAAGCTGTACCTTCGCCCACACAGACCAGTGAGGAGAGACCAATGCTCCTGCCATTGGCCTTCGTGATAATTGTTCACTCATTGGGCTTCATTCCCTTATATATCTTCAATCAACTAGACGAAAAGGTTGGCCCCTACATGCCCAGAATTCACGACCGTCAAGCTAATACAGCACAGTATCTCACTCCCGTCTTCTATGCCTTTGGCGCTCTCAACGTCCTTCTCCCCCCCGCAATCTCTACCCTCCTTACTTTAACCTTCACTGTAACCACCGTGCACTTCAAACTCATCAAATGCTTCTCCCTCCTCACCCTGGGAATGTTCCTCTCTGCCCTCGCTACGCTGAACTTCTCATTATCCTTCCTCATTGGCCTGTTTGCAGTACCATTCACGTTCATCCGCCCATTTCCCGAAAAGAAGTGGACGGCTGGAGTGTTGAGTATGTTCTTGCTACAAGGGCTGACGCCGACAACGGCGTTGGTGGGCGTAGCGTATTATTGGGGTGAACCGCTGGGTGGCATATTGAAGGAGGCCGCGTTTGGATGGCAGGTGTGGGGCATGTGGACGCAGGTTGTCGTGTGGTGTGTTTGGTGGCCGGCATGGGTGACTACAGGTGTTCTGGCGGCGGCGAGCTGGAACCTGGGCAACGAGGAGGTTTGGTAAAGGAAAGTGTATACATGTAGTAGATTACGGGATTAGATGACCTTGGGAGCATTGTCTATATAGGACTTGAATTGTGTTGTATTTCTAGTTGTAGTTTTTATGCGGGTTAGATAGAAGATTTAAAAGTCTGCTTCACGAGCGGTTCAAATTACAGTTGTTTGGGCCTAGATCCTTCCCAAATCCTTCCCCGTACGTATGACAGTAAGTTGTGTGTATGATAGTCACAGTATCCTCGAGAGACCAGTCATGTTGTAACTCCTTAGCGAATCACTTCTAGGTCTTTAGTATTTACATGTCTAGAGAGTATCGCGCCTTACCTGAAGTTGACATATCCAAGCTTTTCGGGAGTAATAAGCCTTACGGATCAACTATTTTCCGCTGGTCTACCTCAACGTCACCCCCGAAAACACTCGGTATGACGCGACGCACCACTCACAGTTGATTCTCCTACTTTGTCGTGGTACATATATCAGAAGGGAAGATTGGGTAGTACCCCTTCCCATGTTTCGCACTCCTCACACGCTCGTTTAAACACCGAAAAATGCCCCCGTCGCGTAAGCAGCAAGCGTCTGGTCCGACATCGGCGAAGCCAGCAAAGAACACGAGCAAGAAACAGAAGGCGAAGGACGATGACAGGCCGAATATTGCGAAGGTGGTACTGGGAGAGCAGGTGATGGTTCCTCTGTATAAATCGCCGTACCCGGTGGATCTGGTGGGCGAGAAGCCGGAGATGTTGTATGTGTGCGAGTTTTGCTTCAAGTACACGACGGATGTATCAAAGTATCTGGGACACCGGGTTGGTTATTTTCTTGCTTCCCCCAAAATCTCTTGTAGCCTTTTCATACTTTTTTTTTTATTATATATAATCTTTTCGAACCCAAGTTTCTGGAAAGAGTAGCTGATAAGTTTGTGGTGTCTGGCAGAAATTCTGTGAAATTGGGCACGGGGTGGTGCTTCCGGGCACTTTCGAAGAGCAAATAGATAGAGAGCATTCAATCTACAGAGTTGATGCTGAGACGGACGGTGTAAGGAGCCCTGTGTGCCCCAGAGTAATGGAGTGCACTCCCCCCGCTGACCAGCACGCGTGGGTAGCTCTTTTGCTCAAATATGTGTCTGTTCGCCAAGCTCTTCATGCACGATAAATCCATATATTTCGACCTCAAGGGATTCATCTTCTACACGGTCGTTAAAAGTATAGATGAGGGGATATCGGCCGTGCCTGGAGTGCCCGTGAGGGAACCTCTCCGGCGTGTGGTGGGGTTCTTCTCGAAAGAGAAGATGTCATGGGACGACTTCAACCTTGCCTGTATCCTCGTTTTCGAGCCCTTTATGAGGTCTGGTCTTGGGACAAAAATGATTGAGTATTCTTACCGCCTTTCGAAGCGGGAGGGAAAGCCGGGGTCGCCCGAGAAACGTGAGTAGCGCCCCCATTATCCTACACTATTTTTTGAGAATAGTAATACTCCCATAGTTTTTCCCTTCTAAAATCTCTGAGCTGCTATATATGCACCTCTGGTACTTCTTCTCTTCCACATACTAATGTCACCTTTTTTTCAATAGCAATGTCAGATCTTGGGAAGTTGACATACCACAGATACTGGCGCCGGGTGATCTCTGGGGTGCTTCTCAATCCTGACCCAAAGCGAGCTACAACTACTCAAAAAGAGATTTCCATCGCAGACATCTCGAAAATCACCATGATCACCCCCGAGGACATCCTCGAGATCCTTGGCCAGATGGAGGCCGTGGTGAAGAGGCCCGCGGACGGCCAGATCATCATATCAATTAGCCGGGTCGAGGCCTTCATCAAGAAGGAAAAGGTCGCCCCCGCAAAGTGGACCTACTTGCAAGATATCGGGGATTACTGGTACAGATAGGGCCGCCCCATGAGTGCGGCGGCACGTGTACGATGAAAGGTATCGCGCGTTTTATTATTCCTTCATACCACAACTAATATCATGATCATATCGTAGTGTATAGCCCCAGAGTGGCATGCCGTTAATATCCTTTTTTTCATTTTTATCCCCCCTCCCCCCACCCCCTTCCTTGCGGGGATCTAGATGGGGTTTTCTTCCTTTTTCTTTCTAATTATAGCCTTATCAAAAAATTCAACCAATGTACATACACTCACGTTTGTATATATAGCTACTCTTCAGCCACTGAAGTGGGGCGTGGCTCTAAAACCGATCACCTCCCCGCTATTATACAAGATCTAGAGGGGTTTTGGGGAGCACTTGGAATGTGCTCCGTGGAGCTAGAGCAGGGCTTCAATATCAGACCTCTGTCATCAGCTGCACGATTGCCCTATCATTGACCCTCAACTACAGCCGTGAATTCGCCTATACTAGTACTGTCTAGTTACTAGGAAGTGCTGGCGAGGCTACCCGACACCCTGGCCTCTCGTGGTGGGAGGGGGCTGTAGGTTGGGTGGGGTGAATTAGTTGGGTTGGTCAATTGGGGAGGTTGTTGTTCCATGTCGCAGCTTGGAGTGGATGTTACTAGGGTGTGTTTATTGGGAATTTGATATGGCGAGTGTAAAAGTCTTCTGTACGTGTAGTGGAGTCGAAGAGAGTGTTTTTTGTTTACTGTATTTGTATCACGAGTCTGTTTGCGAGTTAGGGAATTGAAGAGAGAGAGTCAATGATAAAAACACTAGATGTTGTATTCTACGATGGTAATGATACTAATGCTACAAAGACCAACTCCAACCCTATATACACCCGCCCAACCAACCAACCAACCATAATAGTCTACTAGCTAGCTAAAAAGAAAGAAGCAAAAACAAACAAGAAGAATAAGTTTAAAAATAAAAGGTTTAAAAAAAAAAAGCTTTTTAAAAGATACCACCCCCCCCCCCCGCGCCGCACTACTCCCTCAAAAAAACACACTCCAGCGCCTCCTGCGCGGCCCACCTCCTCCCCGGATCCAACTCGAAGCACCCCCTCAGCAGCTCCACCGCCTCCGCCTCCTCACTCCCCAGCCGCTGATCCCCCGTCCCATCCCTACTACTCCCATTCGCCGTCCGATTCGTCGCCCACAGCACAATCTTCTCCAGCGTAAACCCCCTCTCGCCAATCGTGGCGATACTCGTCTCAAACACACACCCATGCAGCGCCGCACACGCCTTCATCTTCGCCTTTCCGAAGATGGTCGCGATCTCAATCATGGCGTCCACGTCGTCGCTGCTGTTGAAGAACGGGAAGCGCCGCGAGAGGATGGTGAGCAGGATGACGCCGGCGGACCAGATGTCGAGCTTGGTGGTTTGGCTGGTGCATTTGAAGAGGACCTCGGGCGCGCGGAAGCCGCGCGTGCCGGCGCGGTTGGCGCGCCGCGAGGGCCGCGAGTCGTGTTTGGGGTAGCCGAGCGAGGGGGCGAGCGTGGGGGGCCGGGTGCTGGGCGGGGTGGCGTGCTGGCAGAGGCAGAATTGGCTGTCGGTGCCTTCGCGTTCGGCGAGGCCGAAGTCGACGAGGACGCCGCGGCCGCGGCGGAAGTCGTAGAGGAAGTTGCTGGGGGGTGTTAGTGTGAATGTGGATGGGGGGGTGGGGGGTTTATAGTGGTGCGGAGAGGGGTGGAGTGGGGGGAGGTGAGTGACGGGGGTGTGAATTGGTGTGAGTGATATCTCATGATGCAATTGCCCACAGGGAAGGGGAAGGGGGAAAAAACACTCACGTAGGCTTGATATCGCGATGGATAATCCCATGGTTATGCACATGCCTCAGCGCCTGAAACAGGTTCCGAAAGTAGCACTTGATGTCCACCATACCCAGCTCCCTAAAATACTCGCGAAAGTCCACATGCTTAAAGTACGGCATCACGGCCACCACCTGGTCCAGGCAGCGGAACGCCGTGATCAGCGGCACCACGCTCTCGCACCCACTCAGGTCGTGCAGCAGCTCCAGCTCATTCTGGATCCTTGCCGGCGAGCTCGTCACATAGATCCTCTTGACGGCCACATACTTTGGCCTCCCCCCCGCCCTCCGCGACCCCGGCCCCGACCCCGAGTGCGAGTGGTCCCACGAGTTGTCGAACAGATCGTACTCGAGGTCCTCGGCCTTGTACACGCTCGAGAACGTGCCCTCGCCAATCTTGTTGACGAGCCGGAAGCGCCGCGAGAAGCCCTTGAACGTCGCCTCGAACTTGTCCATCTCCTCGGCCACGGCCGGGTCCAGCTGCGAGGGGTCGTCGTCCTCGTCCTCGCTCGCCGAGTATGCGCCGGGGGACGAGGCCGCCTCCTCCTCCTCGTCGTCTTCGGAGGCGGAGGCGGCTTCGCCCGTCACGGTGTGGTCGTCGTCGTCGTCGTCGTCGTCGTCGGCTTCTTCGTCGTAGTCGTCGGCTTCGGAGGCGGAGGGGTCGCCGGAGGCGAGGGCGCGCGCGCGGTGGGTGGCGCTGGTGTAGTGGTCGGTGCCGGAGACGTCCTCGTCGTCCTCGTCGTCCTCGTCGTCCTCGTCGTCGTCGTCGGAGGCGAAGGCGCGGTCGTCGTCGGTGGGCTGCAGCTCGACGGTCTCGGGGCCGGAGTCGCTGGGGGTTGTGGAGGTGGGGGTGGGGGTGGCGGCGGTGGTGGTCGAGAGGTGCTGCTTGGAGGTCGAGGTGGTGGTGTACGCGGCGGAGGCGTTGAGGGACATTGTGAAGTGGGATTGGGGGCGGGGATTGGGAAGGTGAGGTTGTTCGTGGTGGTGAGGTTGGGTGCCGCGACTGGCAAAGAAATGGTCACGATGCCCGGGGCCGGGAGTGAGAGTGAGAGCAGGTCAAAGAGAGAAAAGACGCGAATCGCAGCAGAAGAGGGGCAATTGCTGCCAGGAACTTGGCGTATCTCGAAGCAGAGGCTCGAACACGAAATACACACACATGAGCATCTGTGCGTGTGTGTGTTTGTGTCTTTGTCTCCGCTGCAAAATCAAGCAAAGTCGCGTCTCCCCGCCACGCAACGCCCGCACCCGTGACAGCCAACCGCCAGTCCGTCAACAAACAAACAAAACCTCACCTCAGCTCGCTCGCTCACCCGCCAGCCAGCAGCCAGCCAGCCAGACCCTCAACTCAACTCAACTCACTCCACCAACACCGCAACCGCAACCGCAACCGCTCGCATCCCACGCACAGATCAACGCCCCACGATAACCGCGATAACAACGATATCAGCCGCACGATAACAGCACTTCCCCTCTGCACTCGCACATCTGCACCTCTCCACTCCACACCTCCCCTCCCCTCCCCTCGCCTCCCCTCGCCTCCCCTCGCCTCCCCTCGCCTCCCCTCGCCACACCGCACCTTCACCACCACACACAGCCACCGCAAACCACAGCCATGGACGACGCCGACCGCGCCGACTTCGACCTCAAGCTCTCGCTCAAGCACTACCTCGACGCCCCCGCCACCGTGCCCACCCCCGACGCCCACCCCGACCTCCTCGACGCCGAGTCCGACCCCGCCTCCCTCTCCAACGCCCAGCTCACCCCCATCCTCGAGGCCATCATCGACTCTGTCGCCGCCTCGCCCGACGCCATCGCGCGATCCTCAACCCTCGACTCGCTGCAATGCCTCCTCAAGTAACCCCACCCCCCCCCCCCCCCCCCCCCAAATTCCCTCCCCCCCCACCCCCGAAACAGAGCTAACAGAACCAGACTCTTCCCCACGCTCCCCACCCCCGCAATCGGCAAGATCGTCGACCTCATCACCTCCGGCCTCTCCGCGCAATCCGACATCCTCGCCTCCGAGATCGACCACGCCTCCCCCGAGTCCCTCTCCGAGCACCGCCTGCTCCTCGAGATCTACGGCTTCCTCACGCAATGGGCCGTCACGGCCGTCGAGTCGCGCGCCGCCGCCGCCGCCGCATCCTCCACCACCACCACCACAACCACCGCGGCGCGCGCAAAGGGAAAGGGCAAAGGCAAAGCGTCGCAGCAGCAGCAGAGCTGGGACTCGGCGACCCACCTCCTGGCGGCCCTGGAGACGATGTGTAAGGTGCTGAGGCTCAAGCTGCTGCGCGTGTTTGTGACGACGAGTGAGCGCGACACGTTTGTGAGCCTGTTTACGAGGCCGGCGTATGTGGTGCTGGAGAGCGAGGCGAGGGTCAAGAATACGGCGGTCAGGATGTATTTGTTTAAGGTGCTGTGTATTGCGGTGAAGCATCATGGGCATGCGTTTGGTATTTCCCCCGCCCCCCGCTTCATACATACATATCTACCATACTGCAACTGCGAAGATATATGAAGATATATGCAGATATATACAGATATATACAGATATATACAGATATATACAGATATATGCAGATATATACAGATATATGCAGATATATACAGATATATGCAGATATATACAGATATATGCAGATATATACAGACACAGCCTGCTAACACCGCCAATTATCACACAGGCGCCCAAACATCCATCGTCCAGAACCTAACCTACTTCGAGCACCTCTCAGAGCCCATGGCCGAGTTCCTACAGATCCTCTCCGAGCAATACGACTACCCCCAGCTCGTCGACGAGATCCTGCGCGAGCTCTCAAACAAAGAATTCAACAGCAACGACACGCGCGGCCCCAAGTCCGTCTCGGGCTTCATCATCAAGCTCTCCGAGCTCGCCCCGCGCCTCGTAATCAAGCAGATGACGCTCCTCATCAAGCTGCTCGACAGCGAGGTAAGTCCCCGCTCCCCACTCTTCACTCCCCGCTCCCCTCCCCGCTCCAACCAAACCGAGTGATATCTAATGACTCCAACCCCCCACTAACCACCAAAACCAGTCCTACAACCTCCGCTGCGCCGTCCTCGAAGTCCTCGGCAACCTCATCCTGGACCTGACCCGCACGGCCCCCTCGCACCCGCACACAAAGGCGCAGATGAAGTCCTTCTTCGACGTTCTCGAGGAGCGCTTCCTCGACGTCAACCCCTACTGCCGCTCCAAGACGATCCAGGTGTACATCACCAAGCTGCTGGACCTCGACAACAAGTTCCCGAAGCGCCGGCAGAAGGCGGCGGATCTTGCGTTGAGGAGCTTGCAGGATAAGAGCAGCAATGTAAGGAGGAATGCGGTGAGGCTGCTGGCGAGGCTGGTGGGGACCCATCCGTATGGCGCGCTGCATGGCGGGACGCTGAGGATGAGGGAGTGGGCGGAGAGGCTGGCGGGCGTGGAGAGGGAGCTGGGCGCGCTGCAGCCGCCGCCGGGGATGGAGAAGGCGGCGGTGGGGGAGGAGACGGTGGATCCGGCGCTGCTTGATGACGCTACGATGGTGGAGGGTGAAGATGACGACGACAACGAAGAAGACCAAGAAGAAGTGGAGGAAGGCGAAGACGGCGAACCTAAGACCCCGCGCCGCAAGAACAAGAAGGCGTCAGCGGCGACACCGGCGGGGCCGACGACCCCGCAGGTGCAGCAGATGATGGCGAACTCGGAGGAGATATCGCGGCTGCAGCTGACGAGGAGGTATTATGCGGAGGCGGTGAGGTTCATACAGACGGTGCATGATGCGTCGAGGCTGGTGTGCCAGCTGCTGGGGTCGAAGAATAAGAGTGAGGTGGTGGAGGCGATGGATTTCTTTAGGGTGCTGGATGTGCATAAGGTTGAGACGGCGAAGGTATGTGGTTTTTTTTTTTCTCTTTGGTTTACGTGGTCTTTTGTTTTTGGGTTTTGGGGAGTTTTGCGAGTTTGGGGAAGCCAAAAACCGAAAACCATACCCGATACTTGGATTTTTGGGTTTGGGTTTTGTGGTTTTGGCTTTTTTCAAAAAAAGGCTTTTAGGCTTTTTGGCTTTTGGCTTTTGGCTTTTTGGAGTTTGTGGTTTTGGGGCTTGTGGTTTTGTGGTTTTGGCTTTTTGGCTTTCTGGTCCCTGGACCCGTGGTTTTTGGCTTTTTGGTCTTTGGACTCGTGGTTTTTGGTTTTTGGACTTTCAATTGTTCATTGGCGTTTACCGTCATTTACAATTGTCTTCTTCTTTTCCAATTATCCCCCGTCATCTATCAAATATGGCCATTTACAGTCATTCACGGACATTACCCATCACTTCAATCACTTTCCACCACTCCTCATCACTCCCCATCACTCAGCATCACTTCCTATCGCTTCGTACCATCGTCTACCACTTATTTTCATATCTTATCATTCACTATCACTTCCTATTCACGATCGCATACAGCTGAACACGGACATTTCCCACATCTTCCAAACAATTCGCACATTCCCCTGCCACCTATTACCCCATCCAACCATTCCCTATCATTACCTATGCTCCTTTATTAATTTCCTTTGTCACACACAAAAAACGAGTGATAATTTCGCAGAAACCCAATCGAGTGATAATCCTTGACTAAGCTCTCTAAACCTCACAGGACGGGATCCGGCGCATGCTCCGTCTCATCTGGACCAAAGGCAACAGCGACGAAGGCAAGGGCATCCAATCACACCTCATCGAGGTGTACAAGGACCTCTTCTTCGACGCGCCCGACACCTTCTCGCCCAATGAGACGGCAAACTTCATCGCGCGCAACATGATCTCGCTGACGTTCGACACCACGGCCGCCGAGCTAACCTGTCTCGAGCAGCTGCTCTCCAAGATGATGAAGGAGGGCCATGTCAGCGATCTCGTCGTGCACAAGCTCTGGCAGATCTACGGCGTCCAGAAGCGCGAAATCAGCAAGAACCAGCGCAGGGGCGCGATCATCGTCCTAGGCATGCTAGCGCACGCAGAGCCCGAAATCGTCGTGAGGGAGCTGGAAACAATCCTCAGGATTGGCCTGGGCCGCTATGGTAGGGCTGACCTGGGTCTGGCTAGGTATACGTGTTCGGCTTTAAGACATATTAGCCCTGTTGGGAGGGCGGCGAAAGGTGAGTAAAAAAAAATTGATTGATGATTCATATTCCCCCCCCGAAAAGAAAACTACCCATATCCATTCCATTCCACACACACACACACACACACACACACACACACACACAAAATCACTCTCGATGGCGGTGGTGGTTCCTCCGGTAAGAGGTGCATGATTTGTCGCTGTCACGTGATTGGTCCTCTTGCTGCGTGTGCTCGCAACTGGGTGATTGGTGCTTTGTGCTTTTGGGCTGGCCTGCATTGGAATTTTGAGTTTTTTGTTGTTTTTTTGGATTCCCTACTCGAGATACTCCACTTCCTGCAGGCGGGGGGCCTAGTGCAAACCCCGGCCTCGGATTCCGGGAGAGACAATGCAGTGCCATTCCCAAAATGCCTGAAACCATGGGGATGCCTGTCAGCTCCCTACCGGGTCTCAGACAGGCAACCAACCCAGGCGCAAGCACCCGCGCATTGGCCAGTCAACAGCGGGGGGGAGAGTGTGTGGTGGTGCGCGTGTGTGTGTGTGTGTGTGGTGATGGGTGATGATCTGCATAGCGAATCATTAGTCTAGAATTAATTAACGCGGATTCTTATTTGTTTTTCTTTCTTTGCTTGTTTGTGTAGATGCTACTACCACAACCATGACCAAGCTTCCGAACGACCACGCAATTCTGGTCCGACTAGCGGCCCTGGTCGAGCTTGCATCGGACGATAAGGAGTGGTTCGGCGTCGCGGAGCAGGCGATATCGGCTATATACGCACTAGCAAAGTTCCCGGACCAGCTATGCACTGACATCATCCGCCGCAAGACCAAGAGCGTGTTTGCAGCTCAGGGTCCAGCAATCCCCGGTAGCAGCAGAGAGGGGAGTGCGGCTCCGCCAGAGACTCCGAGGAGTGGGGTGGATGCTGACGGAGATGAGGATATGATGGATGCGGGCGATGTGGACATGGAGGATGCAATGCCGGCGCCTCCTCCTCCTCCTCCTCCGTTGCCTGCTGGACACGAAGACGCGGAGGGCAGGGAGAAGAAGGGTAAGGCGTTTGCCTTGAGCCAATTGTTGTTCATTGTGGGACATGTCGCGGTAAAGCAAATCGTGCACTTGGAGATCATGGAGCTGGACTTCAAGAAAAGGAAAAGTGACAGCGAGAAAAGTGAGCATTTTTTTTTTTTTTGCCGATGAAATGCGCACTTTTGGCTTTTGGAGCTGAGATAGCCTGCAATGGGGGGGGTGTGTGTGTGGACAAGGTGCAAAAGTTTGCTAACAACAATTCGTACAACCTAGACAAAGATGCAAATCCTACGCCGAAAAAGAAGGACGGCGACGAGAAAGACGAGCTCGATTTGATCGGCGGTACCTCAGAGGACGATTTCACCGAGGCTATGGCTATCATCCGAGAGAGAGAGCTGCTGTATGGGCAGAACTCATTACTCTCAAACTTCGGCCCATTGGTTGCTGAGATTTGCGCAAATAATCTTATCTACAAGGTAGGACCAATGCCGTCAAAGTGCATTTTCTTTTTTTTTCACCCCATTGTTACACTTCGCTAATATGCAGCCAACAACCAGGACCGAAACCTACAAGCACAGAGCACACTATGCATGGCCAAATTGATGTGTGTATCCGCTGAATATTGTGAGACTAATCTTCCACTCCTAATCACGATAATGGAGCGCTCCGCCGACCCCATCACGCGCAGCAATGCCGTGATTGCGCTAGGCGACATGGCCGTGTGTTTCAACCACCTCATTGATGAAAACACCGATTTCTTATATCGACGTCTTAATGACCCCGATGCCTCCGTGAAGCGGACCTGTCTCATGACGTTAACCTTCCTGATTCTGGCTGGACAAGTCAAAGTCAAGGGCCAGCTCGGAGAAATGGCCAAATGTCTCGAGGACTCCGACAAGCGCATCGCTGACCTCTCGCGGATGTTCTTCACTGAGCTGGCAACAAAGGACAACGCCGTCTACAACCACTTTGTGGACATGTTCTCCCTACTGAGCGCCGAGAGGGAGCTCGAGGAGGACGCGTTGAGGAGGATCGTCAAGTTTTTGGCTAGTTTTGTGGAGAAGGATAAGCATGCCAAGCAGCTTGCGGAGAAGCTTGCGGCCCGACTGGGCAGATGTGAGACGGAAAGGCAGTGGAACGATGTGGCGTACGCCTTGAGCCTGCTGCAGCACAAGAACGAAGAGATTCAGAAGACGATTGCCGCTGGATTTAGAGTTGTGCACGCTACTGCCTAGGGTAGGCAGGTAGTGTCGGTGCACTGTTCGAGAATAGACAGCACCCCCGGATTAGACTTAATTATGCTTTTGCGGGGGGGCTTTGACTTTGACGTTGGCTGTGCTTCTTCTGCTTCTGACTTCTGACTTCTTTCTATATCCTAAATTAAATGTGCAGTTGCTTTTGTTTTTTACGCTTACTCCTTTTTCCTTTTGTCGTCTTTTATTGCTTTAGGCTATATCATCATTCTTGTATTTCTTATTAGTAACCATATGAATGAAGGCTATGAATGCTTTTGTGTCACTATATATAGGCGTATTTTATGGTATGAGTGGTGGGGTCACTAGGGTGTAAACTGTATTAGTAGAGCAAGTAACCGAACTAGCACTAGTCGGGACACAGTGCACAGTCATAACTCTATTCCAACGGCATGCACTGCTGCTGCTGCGCCTAATAACTTATTATGTACTTACTGAGCTACTCTTCACTGTCGGTCGACCCAGTCAGACAAAACATAAGCAATTAATCTCAGATCTCTCTTTTTCTTTCCGCCTCGTTAAACATTGCCCGAACAGAGAACCTATCTCTTGTGCTTTTACGAGAGCTGTCCGCGAACTGCGACTGCGCATTGTTGCGGTTTAAGGTTAGCCTATGCTGGCTGTTATAGCCCTGCACCTCTAGGACACGGAGACAGCAGCAGCTACCGAGAGTTGGGAAAGCTGCAGTGATAGCCGAAAGACTTGGCGACCTTACCTGCATAACCTACGATGCTCTCTGGTCTGGGAGGGAGGGGTTGGTTGGTTGGTTTTGGCTGTGTGACCCTGCGTTGTCGTCGTCGCCCTGAGTGAGGAGGTCTGGGCAGGGTCTGGCTGGGCGGGTTTGTTGTTAACTTGCTATTACGGACTGGACTGCATGAGCCACAGCACATGTCAAGCTGTCCAAAAAGGCACCTAATGCCTTGCGCGTGGATACATCTGGCTAGTGTGTTTACTATACGAAGGCTGAATTCGGTGATATAACTATATGTAATCTAGATCTGGCGGGAGACTGGAAGATCTGGTCCCCCAGATATACTCGGGTAACTACACTACGTAGCCGAGCCAGTGTACATGTATGGATAAGAGCTGGCAATTGCAGCTACATATGGTGCGCACACTCTTAAAGGTGATGGGGTGGCATACGGAAGATACAGAAGTGGAACAATTGTGGCTGCAATATGGCCTCATGGGCCAATAAGAGGGCCCATTTCTAGCCTTCTGCTGCATCACTACCATGGCCTGATCAGGTTTGCTTCTTTAAGGGTATAAATGGGTATAATATTGTTCCACTTTGTTTAGTCTTGGCGCTTTTTACATACTAAAATACCGAATTTCAAGCTTGAATAACTTTTTAACTAGGAGAGATATCAAAAATCTGGTTGGTAAAATCATTCCTCATCACTAGTACTTCAATTTTACCGACCAGTTTTTTCATAATTTGTTTCATTGCAAAGTTATTCAACCTCGACCTCGCCCCGATTTTTGACTACCTTTATGACTGGGCGCACCATACATGTATGTATGTGTGTACAGGCTAATAAACAAGCGTGCATGAACAGGGCTACGTTTTGTTTGGTCTGAATTCTTTTCGTATTACCATGTACCTAGGTAGAGGCACTCTATTCATTATAAAAAAACCAAAGAAAAAAGGCGAAGTTGCCTCTTAAATATCACCACACTTGGCACATTCCACACATCTCCCGCTTCCCAAAAATACCCCCCCAGTCCCGGCCCGCTCCCAGAAAAAGAAAAGAAAAGAAAAAAAGGTACCCTACACCCAAGCCCCCAAGCCCCCCAACCATCATAATAATCATCGCATTACATCATATCATTAAAACATAAACACCGCCAATGCAAACACAACTGTACCCAAAGTGACCCTCATGTCAACCATCCCCAGCATTGAAGCTGATCCCATGAATTGCAAGGGGGTAGTGGTGGCATTTGTGCCTGCCAATGGTGTAGTGGTACTGGCGGCAGGGACGCCAGTGGTACCGGTTGATGGTTGGTACACGGTGGCCACAGGCGTTGCTTCAGTCGTTGTCGTTCCCTCGTATTCATTATAGTCCGAGTCAACCAAGGGCTAAATTAAGTCCATTGTCAGAAAAAGCCTATCATAATTGATAGAGATTATCGCAATAACGTACCCTCTCAATCGTATGGATAACACCGTTCAGAGTGATCGCATCACTCAGAACAATCCTCACGCCATTGACATACTTCTCCCCACCTTGGACAGTGATCTTCAACTTTTTGCCCTGGCATGTCTGGAATTCTGTTCCATCCTTGAGCACAGAGTTGTACAGAGCAGCGCCATACACGACATGGGCCTCAACAGATGCTGCGGTTATAGAACAGTTGCAGGAGCTATTATATGACCCGTCGATCGGTGCGAAAATGGTGACTTGGTCTGCGGTATCATACTTTTCCTTCAGTCCATTGGCTTCTACTCCACCAAGAAATTCGGCGGCCTCAATCTGTCTTAGTGAACTCGAGGCCGTTTCGGGAAATTCAAAAACTCTATTAGAAATGTCACTAGTTAGCAAACAAAACTTGACTAACTCGATCCCGCCTTATGAGAAGGTAAACTCACCGATCAAGGATATAGATTATCCCCTGTTTACTCTTCAGACTTCCCCACTTAATGTTCGATTTCTTCCCAAGTCCAGTAGAAATTGTAATTCCAGGAAGTTTTGGTTCCGGAGGATTCTCAAATGAACGCTCTTTCAACCGCTTTGAGTCTCCCGAGGAGTCACCAAAGACCAGACCGATGAAGAGGTTTCTCAGGTTGTGACCCTTCGCTGCCGTTCGAAGTGTTATCGGCTCGCCTCCGCCACTCTCAGTGTCAGCTCTCTTGTTCTGACGTGTTGATGTCCTTGTATTTATGTAAGGCGATGGATTGAAATTATCTGCAACATAGAGATTCTGGTCTACAAAGGGATTTCCGCGCTCTTGAAGGGTGTTTGTTGTAGAGTTGGCGTAATCTGCTAAAGCATCGTTTGATGGGAGGAAGATGCTCATACCACGCACAGGGGCGTAGACACTATTGTATATTTCCGGATAATTTCTGAAGTATTCCCCAATGCCAGTAAGTTCGGGCGTTTGTTCGCAGAGATCGATGATATCTAGGGCTTCATATTGGGCGAATGCAGAGCCAGCAATGGAAGAGAAAGCCAGGAATACTGAGAGCATTAAAGAGTTCGTCATGTTGGCGGGTGGGTATAATGTGAACTTAGCTAGTGAAAGCTTTGTGGATTAAGGCTTGAGTTTGGGTTCTCTTAGACTCGAGGGGGACGGAACCAGCTATTTAACAACTAACATGGACTGCCAGCGATTGGCTTCATTTACGTACCCCGATCAAGATATAATTCTCGATTGATGCTGCACTGCGCCGCCGTGTTCTGCACGAGAAACAATCAGCCTTAGGGAAAATATACATGTAGCCTACCACACACCATGCACATAGTACTCTAGTAGTAGTATGTAGAGTACCAGTCTAGCCAATACTGTTATGCAGTAAATGGAAGGGTACGTGTGCCTAGAATACAGTACTCTACCTACATACCGTACTTACGTCCCAGAATATGTACTCTACCTACTCGCAATTTCACAGCGTTTCTGGACGCAACTGCTATTGCATACACAGAAAAAACCCGCCAAGGCTATCTTTTGTATGGCATGCAATAGTGGTCGCGTCCGGAAACGTCAAAAAACTACGAGTACATAGAGAGTACTCTAGTACGTACTCACGATAAATTACCGCATGCCGTGTGTGGTAGATTACCCACTAGCTAGTACCACATAAATGTAACTTCATGTACACGTAGAGTAAATCTACTGTAGGTAAAGTTACGCTTACATGTACATGTAGTTCCTTTTAGGTTTTCCCATAACTTATTTACAACAAGTGAGACATGCATAGCAATGTAAAATCTTACCACATCAACGGAATCACGTGTTCTCCAGTAGAGTACCTACATACACGATTGAGGCTCACTCTAACACATGGCTAGATTCCAAAAATATCGAATTTATTGTTTCCGTTAGGCGATGACCTGCAGCTTTATTCGGGAGTCTCCCGATCTAGAAGTAATCCCACCAAATCGGATACAGGGACCTGGAACTAGCCGACATCCGGCCCGTCATAGGCCGTATATACTACAGTGATGGGGAGAATTATTGCGAAAGTGGGTTTTCCGTGACCCGATAGTCCCATTGGCTCTTGAAAGGACTTTTGCTGTGAGCACGGACCAAGAAACCCACTCCTTTAGCGCTGACTTTCGCATTAATTCTCCCAGACTCTGTACATAGAGTTGGTACTCTACCAGCACATACATAGTCTATAAGCTACATGTACAAGGCTCTGGTATTAAGTGAGCGAACTAGAGTAAATGGGGTGTTGACAGGTGAGGATCCGTTCACTCACTAAATGCCAGAGCCTTGTATGTACCCCAGATAATTGGGTATTTGCAAGTGAACACAAATAGCACGATATTCTAAAAGACAAGGTTTAACAAAAATCCCTACCTATATCAATATATATCTAGGTATCCAACAACATGCATGTATCATGTACTCTACTTGGGGCAGGCAATAAGAACCTGAAAATGCAAGCTGCAAGCAGGGGCTCAATTTGGTGTAGCTTTTCGCCAGCCGCGAATCAGAGGTCGTTACCATAAAAAGTCATTTTCAGGTTCTTCTTGCCTGCCCCGAGTACTTAGTATCCCATGGTGACTTGATCTCTCAACCTCGTTTCTCAAGACCCCAGCCTACTCTACACCAGACTCTAATCGGTCGTGTCTCGCCAGTCAATAGGAATCTAGTACTTCTATAAATTTCCTTTTTTTAACCATAACTCCGTAGGTTGATTGAACGGTCAAATTAAGGCTACCACCATCTTAGCTAATTAGGAGATTATCCAAAAGAATGTATTTATCCCTTGGACCTATCTAACGACATTACATGAGATTATATGATTTCGTCCCCTACGCTCAAAGTGGTGTGCCGGCCGGCGCCGGTCTTGATCAGTATATATGTAGGTAGGCGTAATTATAATACTTGTTTCGCAGTACAGGTACAGGTATATACAGTGAACTACGATATACATGTATTAATAAACCTATATCTATATACTAACTTCTCCTCACACATTTGGGTTATGACCTATGAAACGACTATGGCTCCTTAATCATCCTCTAAAATAGCGAGTACTTCGTGAAGGGGAAGTCGAAATATTCGGAAGGACTTCATCCAGAGAATGAGCGGCGGCCTAGTACATACATGTAGCTACATGTACTTATATACACTATATATGGTTAATTAGAATCGGAAACTTTACACAATTCTCTATTCAATTGCTACATATTACGTCATGTATATATACCAACTATAGTACATACACTACTACAAATACCCTCTAGATCTTTTGCAAGTACTCATCATGTTGCAATTGGCCATGGTGCGAATATCCATTATGATATATTCATTTAAACCAAAAATACGTGTGTATCCAAGCCCCAATATATAGAGTATTTACAGGCATGTTTTATCCGATCCTTCTAATTTTATCATAGAGAAATGTTCTCGCAGATATCCTTATAATTTAGCAGTGCCTATAGCAACATCAAGGCAATTAATGTATTAGTGTTCGAAAATCAGGTTAAAGTAATATGGTGTCCTGACCATGGAAATAAGCCCAGCAACGTTTAGACAGCTACATGTATGTATGTACATAGCTGCACTAGATGATATAAATAATAATGACCCTCAGATCGTTGGTTGTGGCTAAACAGGGCACCAGTAAGCATTCTAGTTTGTGTGCGGCGAAGGCTAGCGGCTGTATACCGGGCGTGGCGGTGCTGTGAAACCGTTGCCCATATGATGCATACATACATGTATAAGTACATACATAGAGTACATACATACATTAGACTCGGCGCAGGCAAAATAGACTCTACTCGTATGTTCATAGCGTTTCCGAACACGACCAATATTGCATGACATACAAAAAGGTGGATTTAGCGCTTTTTATATGGTATGCAATAGCAGTCGTGTTCGGAAACGTCATGAATTTACGAGTACATCAGTATTCTACTTGATTAGAGTAAGTACATGTACAGTTTGAAGTCACTTGCAATTGGGAAACTGATCTAGCATGTAAGGGCTTTTATCTTACATTAAGCACTATGTACATGTATGTAGAGTACATTGTGCTAGCTAGCTTTACATACATACTTGTATAATGTTGAAAACGGCCTTCATACATGAGAATTGGGAACAAACAAAATGACAACTACGAAACCTGCATGCAGTCGCACAACTTCAGTCTTAAGAATCTATTTCTTCAACATGTGTGACCTGGTATATACATGTAGCGTGGTGTGGGTCCAGGTCAACTTGTCTTTGAATTAAAGCTTTCGATAGAATGAAACATTATCAACAAGCTTAATGATTTGTTCCAGACCTGTATGTTAGAACTCGTGGCTGGCTGGTATAGGAATAACATGCAGCATGCAGCATGCATATAAGACTTCAACCTATAGTACATCCGTAAACCCAGGCTTGCCCGATAAGCAAGCGGATAGGCTCATCGCCATCCACACCCGTTGCTCAAGGCTTTGACTGCATGCAGGCATGTGCGAGGCTCCACTGATAATTAGATACCCACATCAATTCTCATCCACTATTTTCGGAATATAAAGCCCATGACAACCTCTAGGCTACATAATCCTATAAAGTTAGAGACCCAGGCTCTCTGTGGATACCCCACCTTGCTATGCAATTTTAATCCAGCTGTCGCGTCGACTCACATCAAGATTACTTCCTTTGAGTTACAAATCGTACAAAAGCCACCAAGGACCTACTCTCTCAGAATTCCAACCCACTACACCTGAACATACAATTTCTCGAGCTTTGTGCATTTTAGCACCGTCTATAAAATAGTATATACATTATATCAAGGTATGTGGATATCTGATAGAAGGCTTAATTACATAAATAAAGCGACCTATATGTACATAGTTATATCTTTTCAAAGACACTTCTAATGCATTTGTACTAGAGCTATAGCACGTGCAGCCAGAAAACCAGCAGACCGACCGGCCTCCATAGCTACGAGGTTCTGGTTTCAGTTACCAGATTGTATCCATAATGGCAGTCAGTTCAGCCCTCGATACAGATCTACCCAGGAATGTCTATCTTCTATGGAAAGCTTTTATGATGCCCACCGATAAAGGCGGCAAACTAGCCATATCAGTAGACGATAGCACAGGCGCATACTTTCTTTCCGCATACACAATAATCCTTGGCTCGATGTTCGGGTTTTTCTGGCAATTCATCACCTACCTGATCATCACATGGTACCCAACAGAAAATGATAGCAGGGTATGGTCTCGAAAAGATCGCAATGATTTCAAAAAGGATGGCACTGGTAGCAAGCCATTGTTACCGGATCAATTGTTGGAAGTTCGCCGAAACAAGGCCAACAGGTATATCGCTCTCGTCAGCATTTGGAATACAACAGATCCAGCCTCAGCCATGCTATTGTTGATGGAGCACGCTTGGATAATGTGTAAAACAGTAGGGGATCAGGCAACATGCATGTTAGATGTTATGGTTTTACTCCTAACTGCAGGATTTATGATCTCTGCTGGGGCCGCCCGTGTGCTCATCGCATCAACCCTTTTTATAGGCAACGAATCTCCAATGGGCAACGTTGCTCCTGTGAATCCCTCAAATGTGTTCTACTGGTTACCAGGAACGACCCGACCGATGATTATCGAAGCATTTACATTTGGTGTATCCTCGTCCCAGAGAGCTGCTGGTGCTATAGAATCAATTTCCGACGAGACGAGGCAAAAAGTTTCGATCGTCCACGATAAGCAGAGTATTTCTTACAACTACACCATAACGGGTGTAGAATTCGGTCTACAGCATGCCAGTTATCTAACTTTCCCTGTCCGCGGGAAATGCGAGCTTATTTCCGATTATATAGACACATTAACCGATCCTGATAATGACATCTATTATTATCCATATCTCCCCAATAATGTATCAATACCCGCAAGACTGTCCCTCAGAGCACCCGTCGTAGCTGCAGATTGGGCAAGGGACCACAAAACTGGCACCCTAACCGGAAACTCCTCGTACATTTTGCTTTTCGAAACAGTTATGCAACAAAGTTTTTACAACACAACTGATCCAGTGTATGAGACCGAATTAGTCGATGCCGACCCAAACTCTCCGCACTATAGAATCAAGCGAGGCAGACCGTTCCTTCATTGTTATGAGCAATCATATTGGGCTTATAAAGATATTAAGATTTATAATCCACAGAATATCGACCAACTTCCCAACAGTGTGGTTCCCGGAGCTTTGAGGGATGAGCTTATCCCCTTTCATTTTTCACAGTCGAGATTCCCCAATCTAGTGAGGACTCTTGGAGGAGCAGTTCTCGTTTCTTCTTCGAGCAGCTACGGCGGGGTAATCGACGCGGCTTCAGCAAGTTGGCACAAAGACATGGAGCGTTTAATTTACGTAAACTACGTGTCGTCCCGGAACGCCTTCCGAGATTCGGCCTCCTTAACCACCTTACTCAAAGAACGCCCCGATAGAAATGCTGCCACAGAAAATGGAGTTCCAAAACAGGGTCTCGGTGATATAGTTGTGGGTACCTCAAAAGTCACGACAATGTCAATCGTTGTCCTCATTGTCATTCCAGTCGCGTGGATATTCGTTTGGTGTATCATCACGATCTTCAGATGCAATAGATGCACATCCCGAAACAGCGGAAAAGCCTCCCGATTCACCTTGCGAGCGGTTGGACTTCAGGCTACACAGATGTATAGACTTCTAGACGAGGAAGTATGCGGTGATCGAGACGACTGGCAAGGCAGGAAGACGCATATGCCCTACATTCTCAAGGCAAAGGGCCCTAAAAGTCCAAACCCTATGGCAAGTCCAGTGAGTTCCGACACGATAACGAACTCCCCATCTCCTCAACTGAACCCTCCAATTCCTCTTTTCGCTGCCCCTAAAGTCGTGAAAGATGAGAAGGATCAGAGGTACCATCTCAAATTCACCGGACCATTGAATTACGAGGCGAAAGTGGATAAAAAAGAGCGTCTATGGAAGTGGAAATATGTCGCTGGTGAGCCTCTCGAAGAAGCTAGGACTCCTAAAGATAAGGTTTCTAAGCTCGCTCAGAACTGTAAGTTTTCTACAATCCTTGGCTACAATTTATCATTCTGTACTGACGTTATCTGAAGTTGATGACAAGGGTTTAACACGCTAGAATAAAGATTTCTAGTGAGTATATAGTTTGGTTGGGCTGTGGAATTATTGCTTGAGTTGGAATCCGGGGTTAAGATAATGTTTGAAGTTATGTTGGGGTTTAGCGTTGGGTGTCTCCATATCTATTGGATGAAGTTGAAATGGTGTTGGGGTGGCGTTGGTTTCTTTATTATTGGGCTTCATGATGCTCTTCACGATCACTGCATGCATGTACCCAGGTACTTTTTCTGTTGTTATTTTCTGTTTATTATCTACGGTCGTTGTCTTTATATTTCCTAGTTCAATCATAATGTCAAGTATTATTTTAGTTTATCAAATAACTGTCCTATACGCCTTTTTCGCGATCGACTGTGTGAAAAAATCATACTCCTAGCCAGCCTGCACTCGCCAGTCTTATATTCAGACTACAGTTTCTTATGAACAGAGTAATTACAACATCACCGACTAACCGTCGGCAAAGATGCCTCCCCCTATCATTTTTAAAGTAGAAATATGCCCACATCGTGTGTGATCACAGGTTATCACTCGCTTTTATCCAGAAATACCTTTTTATTATCTGCAACTTTAACGTTGTTAGCTCGCCGCTTCGGTAACGTCGGAAAGAACATTTAGTCGTTTATTCAGAATTAATTACCTCCCTTCATCTATAGTTTATGCTGACATACGAGGTTCTATACACGTACGTGATCTACGGGTCATGGAATATCACTCGCACGGTTATCTATTGGGGGGACTTTTTTTTGTTTTTGTGTAGCTCTTGGGAACTTCATTGTATATAGTAGGCTCTCGCATCATGCTACGCGGGGATGGGATTAGCTGGGCGTGTGGATAACTAGAATTACATAGCTGTTCTGCGTGGATGTTGCAATTGGTAGTAGTGAGAACTGGCGATGAGGTGGGGGTATGATGGATGTAGATATTATTCTTATCCCATTGCCGTTGAAGGATACGAGATTGGGTTTCCTCCGGTTACATACAGATACGCTTAGTCAGAATGAGAATGGTGCATTACATTATATTCTTGGTTGTGTATGGCGGTGCGAGTGATATTTCATGAAGGAAATCACCGACATGGGGAATTGTATGACCTTTCGTATGTCTGTTTTTCTAGTTATTGGTTCTATTCTCTCTATAGGTTCCTCTTGTTGCTTAGATGCCGGTAGGCGGGGCTATGGGGCTTTGGCTTTGACGTTTCTAAATGTAATTCTCATTCGGCCTTCCTTCCTGCCCGAGTTTTTTTTCTCTACACCACCACCAGCATGAATTCCCCAACTCCAAGTGAGATATTCAAAAAGACACAGAATAAAAGAAAGAAAAAGGGAATTCAATCACCGGAATTGATACGTACAATACACTTCTCTCACATCCAACCACACCACACCCCACCCCACCCCACACGCACCACTCAATGCCCATGCCCATGTCCGCCATGCCCACCACACTCCTCCCCGCCGTGATCATGTCCATGTCCATGATCATGCCCATGATCATGCCCGTCGTCCTCACCGCACTCATGCTCCTCATGCTCATGCAGCAGGCCCTGACTCTTCAGCGGCAGCAGCAGGCGGAAGGCCGAGTTGCCGTTGAGGTAGTATCTGTGCAGGCGCTTGCTGCGCAGGAAGCCCAGGCGCTCGTATAGCTTGATCGCGGCCGTGTTTGTGATCTCGGTCTCTAGCGCCACCTGTGGGGTTGCTTCTTGTTTGTTTTGGGGAAATCGATGGGGGGTGGGGGGCTCAGGGAGGCAGGGGTGGGGGTGGACGTACTTCGTCGGCGTCGCCAAAGATCATGGCGTCGATGGCCATTTGGACGAGTTTGGTGGCTGTAAGGGAGTGTCAGTGGTGAGGTAGGAGAGGAGAGGGATGTGGGGGGGGGGGGGGGAGGGGGTGGTACCGATTCCTTTGCCCCGGTATTGCTCTTTGACCGCTAACATAGCAATGTATCCACGCATCACACCGTTACGGTGCTCTTCGAGCTTCGATACTACAACACCGATTATCTGCTCGCCGTCCATCGCCTACCACTCACCCCACCCCGTCAATAACCTGCCGAACACCAACCAGGAAGGGAGTATATAGACACCCACCATGTAGCACAGGTTCCCCCACTGGTACAAGAAGTATCTATACACATAGATGCTGTACGGCTCCGACAGGTCGCTAGAGATAAGCTGCCGGATGGCCTCGAGCTGCTTCGGCTCCTGGGCGGCGTCGTAGCGCGCATAGCTGATCTTTAATGGCACCTCGCTGGGGAGCGGGGTTGCGGCGTGGGCGCTCATGGCTCGGATGTAGGAGAGGAGGTCGGTGATCTGCTGGACGGTGGGCTGGGGGGTTGCCATGGTGAGTGCGTGGGTGCGGTGCCGCTCGCTGTGCTAGTGGGTACAGGGTAATAATAATGCAATTAAGGTTCTGGGGACCGCCGGCGTTGTGTGCTACGTGCGTGTGCTCGCTGGTAGTGCGGGTGGAGCGGGTGCTGGCTGGTGATGCGTTCGTTACCCTACTTGGCTGGCTGGCTGGCGGGGTTTGAAGTGCGGGACGAGTGCAGGGTTGTGACCAGCACTTGGACACAGCAAGGCTACATGTACTACTGCTTGGGGGTTTGGATTGGCAGGAGAGCAAGACTGATGTAGCATTTATTTGGAGAGATATGCCTCCTGTTGCTCAGTTGAGTTTGAGTTAATTTGAATTGCCCGATGTATGTGCACCACCATCGTGCAAATACCAATGAGGGCCCAGAGCTGAGACAAGCCTCTGGAAGATCGCTTATCGATAAGCCGTGTGTGCACCCTGGCAACTTTGGCGGTGGAACCCCAAAACATCACCGGAGATATTCCCACAACCAACATCAGTCCAGCTTCACATCCAACAACTAGTCTCACCTCTACACTCACCTTTCTACAATTACAATTACTACTACGATTGAACGACAAGCAAACCCGCCTACCACCCCCAAAATGACCTCAATGACCTCCTTCCTCGACCCCCACCTCGAGCAAATCACCCTCTCCTCCCAAGCCCTCTCCACCCTCCCCTTCGCTCCCCCTAAAATCTTCACAAACGGTCCCTCTCCCTCCCCCCCCTTCTATCAACCGCCCAACTAACAAACCCCAGCAATCCTTCACTCCACCGACATCGTCTCCCTCATCCGCGACACCGACGCCCACGAACGCGCCCTCTTCACCGTCCCCTCCACCACCACCTCCACGTCCACCGCCACCGTCCCCGACGCCGACAAGAAGGGCCGCGTCTCCATCGCCCCGCGCAGAAACACGGCGGTCTACTCCGTCCTCGGCGGCGACATGGTCGAGAAGCTGCGGCGCGGCGGCGCGGGCGGGGTTGGGCGAGGGGTCGGTGGCGTGCCGATGCCGACGGGGGATGTGGATGTGGAGGTACTACTGATGGGCGCGGAGAGGTTGGGGGCTGTGTAGTATGGATCGCCCCTTTTTTGTGGAGAGAGAGAGAGTGGGTGGGTGCTGATTAATGTTGTGTAGTCATATCCCTGGTGCTGCGGAGCGGATCGAGAGGGCGCGGGAGAGGTTCGAGCAGCTGTCGGAGTCGCTGGAGAACTATGAGGCGCTAGTAGATGCGCAGAAGGCCGAGTTGGACCTGCTGCATGGGCGGAGCGGTGGTGGTGAGGTGGAGGATGAGGAGGATGATGCGATGGATGGGGTGGTGTATGAGGATGAGACGGCGTATCTGAGGCCGGGGGAGGAGATGGTGACGGAGGAGATGATCCGCAGGGAGGAGGAGGAGATTGGGGAGTTGGAGAGGAAGAAGGCCGAGTTGGAGGCGAGGATTAGGAATGCGGATAGACGGTAGGTAGCGTAGGAATAGATAGTTGTAGCGTCTTGGTTTGGGAGTTTTCTTCTTTTTTTTCTCTCTCTCCAGATGGATAGCTAGATAGAGCTGTGTTCTTTTTCTTTTTTTTCCCGTGATTCTGTATTGATTTGGGATGGTCATCCGATAGCTTCAGTGGGCACTAATTGTATCCGCGCTCAGGAGTATCGGGACACGGGGGGCTCCCAGTGTTGTACCAGATATTAGGTTGTGTAATAATTGGCCCAGAAACGAGGAATGATTTTTACAACACTATCATCCACCCAGGTCTCTCCAAGCCAAGCAAATTCACCCACTCTCCCGGAATACTGAAAGGAAACTACACATATTGGAAAGGTCCATGACACCAACTAGCTCTTCCACTCGTAAGGGAGAATAGTCCGTAATGGATTTGAGTATAAATACCTATTAAGGTGTTATATAATAATCGACGAGTGATTTATCGTGATTTACATAATGGGGGTAGCCATGGACCCTGGCGAGACCAAGTTCACTAGGGCAACCAAATGGTCCTGAAACGCCTTGGGCTAAGCTTCCTCCTCTAGTAGACCCTGGATCTCAATCAGTTAGATGTAGATATTTCGTTCTGATACAGTTAGCGGCGGGAGAAACGAAAACGGTAGCAACGCTCTTAAGGTTGGTAGGTATCACGTTCAGTCGTTTCTTTCCTTTTTCCACGATACCACAGGATTTCTAAGGTTTGGTTTTTGCTTATTGCTCTGGTCTTACGGATATAAAGAATGACTGTAAGCACCGAACACGAGACTACACAAATATTCGGGAGTCTGACAAACGCTCGCGAGTGATCATTTATGATCCCACTAAACGCCCAGCTGATCCGACCAGGGTCTCTCCCGCCCCACCACTTGTAACACGTGAAAAGCGATTTACTTTCCACAGGGCTGGCGGGATCGCGGGACACAAAGTTTCCGTAAAAGTAAAAAAATATGATGACGTTCCATGCCAAGCTGCGGCTCTGGGAACGAGACAAGACAAGATACACATCCACACCCGCCCCCCCGGGCCCCCCTGTCCGTCGGCGGCATTTCCGAATGGCTGGGTCCTTAGTGACAACAAACCAGAGAGAGGGAGCTTGATCTTCCCTCACATTCCATACCCACTGCTACTAACACAACACAACCACTGACTGAAATTCTTGCCAATCATCCCGTCTTTTTTTTCTTCTTCTGCCTTCTTACTTTAACCCCCAATCCACCTTAGACATGTCGCCCAAGAAACGGAGGGGCAATAAGCACCCCTCATCCGAGCCCACTACAGCAGCAGCAACAACACCTCCGCCTCCGCCTCCTGATGACTCGTCGTCGAAGAAGCAGCCGCAAAAGACATTACCCGTGATTGTCGAGAAAGTCGAACACCCCGCCAAACGGGCCAAGAAGCGCTCCTACACCCTCGTGTTCATCATTGGCGGGCTCGTGGGCCTGTTTCTCGCCGTCTTCTTTGCAAAGAGCCAGGACATTGTGATTGGGGACTTCCAGCTAGGGTCGTTGGTTGATGTGATCCCTGCGGGCATACTGAAGGAAGCTACAGATATCTCGGTATGTCGCCCTCGCTCTCGCTGTCGCCTGCACGGCGGCATCGGTAACGACAACGCTTCTGCTATGCCTATCGTACTGACCCATGGACGGCAGCAACGGGAGAAGGATGTGGTGAGTGCGGATGCGTTCCGCGTGGGGTTGGCGTTGAAGTCGGAGGGGTTGGAGGCAAATCATCCGGTTATTATGGTAGGAGATCATTCCTTTTCTGCCGGTGTTAAGCTTTGTGTGTTAATGGAATAGGTTCCGGGAGTCATCTCAACAGGGTATAATACGGAATAATCTGCTGCCGATCTCAAATGCTTATCGTCCCGACTGACACTTCGGTTCACGCACATTTAGACTGGAGAGTTGGGGAACGGGTGAAAAGAGCCGGCCATACTTCCGGAAGCGGCTATGGGGTTCTTGGAGCATGTTGAGGGCTATGGTTACGGACAGAGCTACCTGGAAGGTAGGTTTATGCTACTAGGAATTGCCTGCGCCGTTGCTTATCGGTTTTAGCAACATGTAATGTTGGATAAGGATACTGGTCTTGACCCACCTGGCATCAAGCTTCGCGCCGCGCAGGGATTTGATGCTACTGACTTTTTTGTTACCGGGTATGCAGACTCTACGGGGAATTGAGGCGGGTAGAGTGTTCTGACAATAAGGGTAGATACTGGATCTGGAACAAGATTGTAGAGAACTTGGCGAGTATAGGTTACGATCCAACAACGGCTTACACTGCGTCCTACGACTGGCGACTGGCATACCCGGATCTTGAGAAAAGAGATAAGTACTTCTCACGGCTAAAGACTTACATCGAAACGTCAAACAAGCTCTCCGGTAAAAAGGCCGTACTAGTTGCGCACAGCATGGGCTCGCAGGTGGTACACTACTTCTTCAAGTGGGTCGAGGCTGAAGGGCACGGTAATGGCGGTAATCGATGGGTGGAAGATAACATTGATTCGTTCATAAATGTACTTTTTTCGCACTTCCAAATTTCTGGGGCCTTACAACTAACTATCCGTGACAGATAAGCGGTTGCATGTTGGGGGCCGTCAAGGGCGTTCCCGCTGTCCTCTCTGGCGAAATGAAGGACACAGCTCAGCTAAATCGACTTGCTGTCTTTGGACTCGAGAAGTTTTTTAGCCGCGAAGACCGCGCAGAGATCCTCCGGGCTATGCCGGGAATTTCAAGTATGCTTCCAAAGGGTGGTGATGCAGTCTGGGGAAACCTAACATGGGCTCCTGATGATAAACCGGGACAGAACGTTAGCTATGGCTCGTTCATCAAGTTTACAGAGGGCAATTCCACCCATGGGCATCCGCGCCAGAATCTAACTGTAGCCGGAGGTTTGGAGTATCTGTTGAAGAACTCCGACCCTTGGTTCCGGAAGCAAGTCCTGAAGAGCTATTCTCACGGGGTTGCGCATACCAAGAAGGAGGTTGAGGCGAACGAGAAGATCCAGTCGAAATGGGTAAATCCGTTGGAATCAAGGCTACCGTATGCACCAAGCATGAAGATCTATTGCTTTTATGGAATCGGGAAAGAAACCGAAAGAAGGTACTCTTCATTCTCTTCACGTCAAACTCATATCGAGTCTTTTACTCACATCATCTATAGCTACTATTACCAAGATATAACAAGCCCAATGTCATCATTGAACATCAGCATTGACACAAGTGTCAATGGAGATGGTAGCGTGAGTAATCTTCCATTTAGGTTCCCAAGTCATTAAAGACGTTGTGTTGAACATCTTTACAGGATCGCGGTGTCGTGGTTGGAGAAGGTGACGGGACAGTGTCTTTGCTCAGTGCGGGATACATGTGTACAAAGGGCTGGAAGATGAAAAGATACAACCCAGCAGGAATCTCAATCAAGACCTATGAGATGCCACATCAACCTGACATGTTTGATATCCGGTGAGTGATTCATTCCAATGGTCTTATATACATCTTGGCACATCACTAACAGTAGAATGTTTCCAGAGGAGGACCAAACACAGGAGATCATGTCGGTAAGTACATCACTGTTTATCCTTCCTTTATTTAGAATCACTCTAACACGATCTACCTATCAGATATTCTTGGCCGTCAAAAGCTCAACGAGTTGATTCTCCGCGTTGCTGCGGGTCACGGTGATGCGATCCCTGAAAACATTGAATCAAATATTCGGGAGATTTCCGAAAAGGTTAAAATTCATGATGGCGATGGAGACGACTTCTTTGCTAGTTGGGGTGTCCCCGGTTTCTCGGGGTAGGTGTTAGACGCTATATAAGTTTTTTTTTAGTTTTTTTTGGAGAGGTGCTTTTTTTTTTAGTTTATATTATTTTTCTCCTTTTTAAACAAAAACTGTGGAGGGATTAATGCGGTGGCTTGGAGTTTGGCTTCTCTTTTCTGCTTGGGATGGATTTTATTTTGAGGTGTGCGTGCTTGCTGTCATAAATTATATATCATGATTAGATTTTTTATGCATTTGGTTTACAGAAAAAAGGTAGACTCACAGATTCATTTCGTACACAACGTCAAACCACCGAAACCCCGAACCCCCCCCCCCCCCCCCCCCCCCGCGGGTCATGAGTTTTGCGGATACACGTAGATTAAGAAAAATCCGACTGGCCGGAACCGGAGGTTTGACATACCGACACGGGTATGGCTAGGTGTTTCCCGGGACGTCTTGGCACTATCCGGCCACTCAGATATCACTTCCGGATAGGGGTAAATTATAAGGTGAGTTGATCGGCTCATCAGGTTAGACGGTGCACCGAGCGTTTGATTCCCCGGAGCTTGGAAAGTCTGTGGGGGTGGGAGTAGAATATAGTGGTCCGGAATTAATATCTGTAAGCACCTCTACATAAGTTTGTTCAAGTGGGGTTAGACAGCAATTAGAATAGAGGAAATTGAAGTTTCCGATATGCTATGGTTTGTGAGTAGATAACCTGGCCTAAAGAAAGGGGGGGTGACTACATGTACTACGGGGAAGATAATGTGTAATCATAAATTATCACTCGAACACAGCACACAACGTTACCTACATGTAGCCAACCTTATGTGGTCTCGTGCTTACTAAACTCTTTAAAAGCTTTATTAGTTGTACAGGGTAGAAGGTAAAAACAAGGAGCCGCTACAAACTAGGGCTTTACATGATCATGGTCGCTCCGCCGTTTTTGGCTTTAATTGATAGTTGCTGGGACCCGATCGCCTAATTAGTCGAACTTAAATCTCCGGTACCACTCAGGGTAAGTGCCCCATGTATTTAGCCGCATGGCTAACCTTAATAAGTTACTGGTATTTGATGTTTGGTACCTGTTGGCCGTTTAAACCCCCTCGAGACAAAAAAACCACATTATCGTTTTAGGACGGGATATCATTACAGGCGATTTGATCATATAGGATGGCAATCTTACGTCGTGACTTGTTTTTGGCCCGATTCCCATCCATTTCAGAACCCTAGCACATACATGTAATCGTTGACCAAAAATTCCTGCGACTAAGAGAATTTGAGAAAACGACGTATTAGTGAAGAAAGAAGAAGAAAAGTTGACAATTGCCTCCATCCCATAATCCCACAAAAATACTCCTAATCAAGCCACTCTTAATCTGTTGCCTACAACTACAAAGTTTTCTTCGCCCGTGATAGCTTGAAACTACTCAATAGGGACTAGCAACAATATTCTGTCGAGACCTGGTTTGCCTGGTAGGCATCGCAATACTATCCCTTGACGGTTTTTTGAAGGTTGCCTTCTTAACCATATCTACCGCGTTCGGCAAAGCCACAATGACATTCTTATCGCTTCCGAACCTAAAATTATCTGCTTTGACCTCCTCAGCATACCGTTTGATGGTGTATTGAGTTTTCTTCCCTGAAACGATCTTCTTAATACTCCATGTAATCATAAATGGCCCGGTTGAAGTAATAATCGATGTTTCGGATGCATCCAAACCAGTATTGAATTTCGCTGCCGTAAAAGATAGAGGTTGTTTTGTCTCCGCTTGCATTTGCGCCACGTGCTCTGGGTTGAGTCCTAATCTGCGTGGGCGTGGCTTTGAATCCTTCGGGAAAGCCTTTTCGAACCCAAGTTTGCCCTCGTTCTTTCCTTCTTGCTGGAGCGCATCAATAAGAAGAAGATACGTTCTGCACGTCGCCAGAATCCATCGACCATCCGCCGAGACATCGAGGCCGATGATTGCTTCCCCAAGAGCCGGAATATGTGTTTTAGCGTTAATACCTAGACGGTCAAACATACGGATATCCCCTTTAGTTGAGGCGACAGCGATATATCCCTTTTCTGTGGTTGCTGCAGCGGAGAAATCATTCTTGGCGACATACTGCTTAAGTTCCGAGTCGACAAGTTTGTTGCCAGATAAACGAGGGTCAACACGATAGAGTGCATTGTGAGAAAGACCAAGAAAAGTTGGCTCGCTGGACATTTGTGCGAATTTCTAGGATCTGTCAGTTAAAGTCGGCTCCAAATCAAATTTCTAGTGACCGTACACTTTCCGGGGCAAAAATGTTGATAGGAATATCATCATGCACTTTCCACTCATCAACAACCTTCCCATACTCTAGATCCATCCTATAAACGCTATGTGGGTTATTCGCATCTTGCATGATCATACTGGTGTCTTCTCCATGTAGCATCACCTACCACGTAGGTTAGCAAAGTTAGCCTATCAAGAGTTAGAAAGGTATAAACCTTTTTGGGTTCGAACAACCGTCCTTTCGGCGTCTGGACTTTTGTAATGTTTGTAGCAAACTCCAGTTCGTTATTGTCGGTGTGCTTGAATACACCAATCTTACTCCCTCTCACAACGAAACTTCTATCGTGCTTATATCCAACAGCTAACTGGCTGTTCTGTTCTCCGGTTGAGTTCCCCTTAACATGTGTATCGTCCTCCTCTTCATCACTGTCGTATTCTTCGCTGCGATTACCTGCATCTTCTTCTGCTTCCTCAAATTGCTCCTCTTCCTCCTCCTCTTCGATATCTAGTGCATCCTCCATAGTTGTATCTTGGAAGGCTTCAAGGACATATTCCCGGTCTTGGCCTTTGGCCTTGGTCCATTTTTGCTCGTTCAATTGTTCCCAGAGGGCACGCATGAGACCTTCTTGGAAACGTTCCTCGGTTTCCATGTCTTTGAAGCGCAAAAGCCATGAGTATGCCGATCCGTCTGCGCCGTAGTGATTAAAGATGAAAGAGAGGTATTCGAAATTGAAAACGGGGTTGATATCGGCAATTACTGGTTGGCCCAACCAAGACCTACTCTGGCCCTCGATTTGAAGCCAATCTGTACAAACATACCATTAATTTCAAACGCCCTTATAAGAAAATGTAAGTATAAGACATACATTGCCACGGTCCGACTTCAGTAACTGTTGCCATAACCTCGGAGTCCTGTAATACGAACGTGGCGCTTGACAAATCGAACAAATGCAGTTCTGCACTTTCTGACGATAGAATTTCTCCCACCTCCGGGGCAACTGCAGCTTCTGGTGCAACAGTAGCTGTAATAGGAGACAGCTCCTTTTTGTAACTTCTCGTTTTTCGAACAGGAGTTTCAACTTTTTTTGCCGGAGGAGGCATAGCCTTGCTTGCAGGAGATACGGCAGTTGGTTTTGTTGCGGAGAATATGGAACTGGATGTTGTAGTTGTAGGCGAATTGGGCGCCATAGAAGCAGACGGGATTGGATCACTTCAACTTCATTGTTAGGATCTTGGTTTCGATAATATACGACGCATGGAGAAAGTGTAATTACGAAAAAGAGAAGTGATGCAACTCCTGTTCTGTTGCTGTTTCGTGACTTCTCCTAAATTTTCTTTCAAACTGACATTGTATAGCTACAAGTTCGAAAGTGGGAGCTGAACTAGGCTGTACACTGGGGTCGCAAATAAACTCGTATAAATCACCAGGATCCTATGGCAAAGTCAGAAAACATGTGAGAAATATGAGGATCCCTACTAACCCCACTCAAATCCCTCCACGCAAAAACCGCTTGCCCGTCACGAATGGTGTACCGTAGGTGCAGGCCCTCATCAAGCAAAAACGTCTTTTCGTCCTTTGTGTCGTCGAAATCCTCAGCGTCATCGACAAGCTGCTCTTCTCCTTCTTCGTAAGCACGCTGGATTACCAGTTGATAGTGAAAGTTAGTTGACGTTCTACGGATTGTAGCAGCAGCATCCTTAAATCTGTATTTTAGATAGCAAAATCAATAATTTTGAACTTCAACAAAGGGCGTGGCCAAACTTGTTTCCCCATGGAAAAACTCACATGCATTCGCTATGGCCTTTAACGGAGTTTGGTCGGACAATATAGAGCTGACCTTGATCGAGCTGGATGATGTCTTGTTTAGTTGAATCGCCAAATATTAGCTTGCCCACATTCCTCAGCATGAACATCTTGATTTGCTCCTCCGTTCTGTCACTTGCTCTCTATCTAGCTGTCGATATAAACACGAAGAAGCTATGTATGAGGGAGAAAGATGATTGTTGGTGGGATATGCAGATTTGTAGCTGTGGTGTTTTTAGGGCAATCATGTGCAAGGAATGCTGCAGGGAAACGCGAGCACAATGACGGGGGAGGGGAAATCACACACACGAAACTGCGGGGTGATAACAATCTGTGTTTGTGGCGAATGGGGCGGCAACGGCCGCAGAATCTACTTGAATGTTGTGGCTGCTCAGATTAGATGCACAGCCTACGGTGAGACCCCTGCACACACGAGCCAAAGAGGTGGAGCCACTCCCCGCACAAATTATCGGAAGGGGAGAGAGCTAGAGCTCGAAATCAAGTGCAGCAAGCAGACCAACACGAAAAAAGGAGAAGAAGCAGAATTACGTAGAACTCATCTGAATTCGCAGATACTCGCAATCTGGAATTTAATGCGTGTAGCACAGCTTCATCTGTGCGCCGTGCATTCCCACTAGTACTAAGGAATTTCTGTTCCTGAATTGTTGCTGGTGGCCGGCCGCCGAGCACGATCCTTCCCAGCGAGAATCTCCCTCATAGAGTTACATCCTCTTTAGCGGTTCCCACTCAATCATTCATGTACTCTTAACTTTGACTCACCAGCTAGTCTACAAACTGTTGTTACTCATCCGCCCACTCACTAACAGTCAACCTACGAGTCTACGCCCTTGTCACTCCGTTGTTAGGCTGCGCGTTGTCACCTGTTCTATTGAGACTCAAGCTCCTCTTGCTTTTTTCCCTTTATTCCTCCTTCCCCTCCCCTTCCAGCGCGGCGTCACCCATAAACCGTCTGTTCTTAAATCTCCGACTCACTTCTCCCTCGACGTCAACTCAAAAAGAAGAAAAATTGCCCGAAACGAGTTGGAAAAAGGAAAACGAGAATAAAGAGGGAAAGGAAAATTGCACTACAATTGACGAGAGCTGCACTTTTCTTGCTGACTTTGGCTAGCACTGTTTTCTTTGCTTGCATTCCCTATTTCTAGACAACCCCCAATAAACTCAGCACATATCCCAATCCGCCCACGAAAAGAAAGTCCGTCTACAACATCACCTTTCAAATTCCAGTATGGACGGAGGCGGAGGAAATGTTGTCACTGCCGGCGCGCCGGCCTCCAACGGTATAGATAACAGCAGCGGCCATCAACAACCCCTCAACCAGATCAAACAAGCCCTTGAAATTGTATACGACCCGCATTCCACCAACGACTCCCGGAAACAGGCGGGGCTTTTCTTGGAGTCTGCAAAAAGTGAGAAGGAGGCACCCTATCATGGCTTCACTTTGGCCTACGATAGGGGTCAGAACGCCGTAGTAAGGCATTTCGGACTGCTTCTGTTAGAACATGCTCTAAAATACCACTGGGATGAATATTCGGTCGAAGAAAGTACCACGGTTCGGAACTGGATTTTGTCCTTAGCTGAGAATGTCAAGATGGACGGGGGAGATCCTGTATATTTACGGAATAAGATTGCACAGCTGTGGGTAGAGGTTGCAAAGCGCTCATGGGCCAACGAGTGGCTAGACATGGATGAGCTTCTTGCCAAACTTTGGGAAAATTCTTCGAGAGAAGGAAATCCTGCGCAACGAGACTTGGTCTTATCAATTTTGGAAAGTTTGGTTGAGGACGTTTTCAATAGAGAGGATTCGGTGGCCGGTATTAGGAATACACCATTGAGCAAGGCGTGTATAGACATATTTACGCCTATGGCAGTGCTAAGAGAGCACTTTCCTCTGCGAGATCCAAGTGTGGTTCTTGTATCCGGGGAGGAAGGCTGGCTCGCAAGACTTGTGGGTATGCTGGAACAATGCCTGGAGGCGGGCGTACAAGGCAATTCCGAAGTTGAGGCGTGCGCGATAAAGGTTTTGGGAACTTTGAAGGCTTGTATGGCTTGGGCTATCCCAAAGTACGTCTCTATATCTTTCAATTCGTAGTTTTTTTTTCTTTCCAACACTAAAAATTGACTTTAACAATTTAGAGCCATAGCTGCAGCAAAAGTAGTTGAAACCGTTGGGCGATCCCTAATGGTAGAAACGATAGCAGTACAAATGGTAGCTACATATCCAGACTCATGCAAGCATATTTGTGCGTCTACAAAAAACACGCTAAGACGGATAATTTAGGTCGCAACAGAGTGCCTTCACACTCTGTTTACAAGGATCCTCATTGAGGACGATGACTTTCAGAAGATCGTTTGTCCAATGTACCATGCCCAGACAGTGGATTTGCTGAGAAAGATCTTCAACTGGATACAAGTTGACCCGAATAATATTGATGAAGAACCTTACCTCTTCTTGAAGAGATTCTCAGAGGTGAGATGTGAAATTCTCGATTAACGAAAGAATCATTGAACAATCACTAACTCTGTATAATCCTATACCAGATGGTTGCCAACCTCGCTAGTTTTGTAGAAGAAAAGGCGAACTTGATGCTGCCGGAAACCGACTTATCGGAGTTTATGAAATTGCTGTTTGAGATCACTAGTCATAATAGTCTGGCGGTTTCTATACCAGTATTGAACGTCTGGACCCGAATTGTGAAAAAGGATATCCTTAGTGAGCATGAAGCTGTTTTACCACTGATACCTGGGTTATTGGAGTTGGTCACCTCCCGACTGATGAGGGTAAGCAGCCCCTTTAAAATTGCATGTATCTGGCCAATATCAAAACTGAACTAAACTTTATCTAGTATGAGGTCATGGAGGATGACTCGAATCCAATACTACTCTTCCTGAATGAAGATCTTGATACTATCCCAGAAAGACACGCGTTCCTTGGAAACTATCGAAGGTTCTGTCAGAGTATTGTCGAGAGTATGGTGAGAAAACGACCATTCGAGGCGTTTCCATATATCATGTCTCAAGCAGAGAATTCCTTAACTGGCATATATAGTAGAAGCCCTTCGGTTAATCGTAAGTCATCATGCAGGAGTCCTTTGCCTTCTTCACTTTCTTCAAATGGGTATATCTTTTACTAATATGTTTAATGCAGTGGAAGAATATTGTAAAAATTCAAACGCTTTCCTAGAGCTAGATGCCCAGTTCACTGTCATGGAAGCGGCTCTGAAAGGGTACATCAGGTGGGCGGATGGCGTGACTAACAACCCTTCCGCTTCGCAAACAAACGTATGACTCCCCTATTTAGATTTTACATTGCCCAGTATCACTTACTTCAAACTGACCACGATCTGCTCTCTCCGGATTAGTATAACACCAATCGAGACGAACTTGAGCAACGGCTTGAGGGATGGTGTGAACGAGTTCTTAATATGAACTTTGAAGATCCCATGATACGAAGAAGAGTAATTCAACTAATGGTTACGGTTTCTACCTCGGCCTTGCACAAAAAGGCAGATCTGATGCTAAAGATTCTTGAACATGTTTGTCCATTCTTTCTTTTTTTCTTTTTTTTTATCTCGCATGATTAAAACCCACGCTAACTAGAATTATTTTATAGGTTCTGCTTACCAGGCCAGTCGAACATCCAAACCATGCCTATACAGATGCTGTCAAGGAGCTCATGAGTGTTTGCACTACTGAAATTCAACGTTTGGCGATGAAAATGCCAGATCACTTAATGCTGGTCTACGATCAACTTCAAACTAAAATCAACGAGATTGTGGCTACAGAGAACGTTGATGACCGTACAAGAATAGCTTTTCACACGTTTCTCTTCACGATAAAGTATAAACCCTATCACCCCCCCCCCCCCCCCCCCTCTTTTGATGCCCAAACTAACGAAATGGCAGCCACCGGACAAAGAATATCGACCCGCAATTGCGTCAGTCACGGTTGGAAGGATATATCTTCCCAGTCCGTGAGGCCTGGAGAGATCCGGTACTTACCGAGTCTCTGCAGACTTTTCAAGGCTTCTGTCAAGTTTTGGGACTGGATAAGGTTCAAGATTATTTAGTTTCAAGGCGTGTAAACGAAATTTCGGACTTCACGAAACAACCTTTGGACGAAGAGGGCCAAGCCTTACAACTCGAGCTTACGGAGAAGTTCAAAAATCTACCAATACGAACTACAAAAGCTTTCTTAGCCGTTTCCACTGAGCAGTTGAGAAAGCCATCAAATGCATATAACATTTCATGTGCGCTTTGGCATGATTCTATACCTATGATTCTTCCTAATTTACTTAAATTTCTCAGGTAAGTTTCCCCACGCAGCTTCGGTTCCCAGGAAATTAATAAAATTGGTAGCCATGCACATGCTTTCCACAATCCAGCGACCTGGCAAGGGCTTCAACCTGAATTACAGAGTGTTATCCGAAAAATTTTAACAGATCGTTTCTGGCAAGCTGGAATCTCTACTGGTAGCCGAGATGAGTTTTACGAGAACGTAACAAAAACAAAGACGACGATGGAGGGCCTCGCTTCCTCTATCAGGGGTGCCATACGAATGGTTAGGGAAGCTTGCTACTCAATCTTGTGGTGCATGTCGAGGGTGGATGTCCATTTCTATGGACTGAATGAACTTCCGGGGCCGCTTGCATTGGCGCTTTTCGCGGATGCACACGCCTTAAGCTCCCATCAGATGTCGATTCTATTAAATATGACGAGATACATCATTGATGACTGCCCGACGACACTTAGAGCACACTTTTTAACACCATTGCTAGCGAGCCTATTCGCCCAAGTAGACCGTAAGATCAGTGGAGAATGGGATGAGCTTATGCAGAAGGGACAGATTACTCAAGATGATGATAAGCTAGCCGAAGAAATGAAGGAGGAAAGCATTCTCAGGCAACTTACGTACACAGCGGTTTTGATTGTTGCAGGGCTCCTAGACCCCCAGAGACCCGGCGAAGCAGTCAACGCAAATCCGGGTTTTCTAAGCCAGGTTGCAGCGCCAGAATCACAAAGTGTTGGACCTGGGGAACAAATAATGAGAGAATTTATACTATCAATGGATTCTGTCTTAGAACCATTGATTT